TTATCAATAACAATTCGCAGCGTTCGTGACCAAATACCACACCCGTAGCGGTACATAGACCGCAGACGGCTTCCGAGAAATTGGATCCCCTCCCCCCATTTTCGATCCCCTCATTCCCGCGGCTCGTGCTCCTGCCGACTTTTCCGTATTTTTCCGGACCTCCCGGGCCTCCGCGTGGCTAGCAGCAGACGCTAATGAATTCAGGCGCGGTGCAGGAATAATTTATCCGCGGGGGCTCGAGTGGTGGGCGCACTCCCCGAAAAAGGTCGCTCTGCAATTCCGCGCGATTCCGGAAAAATTAGCAATGGTGACCGGCTAGCGGAAAAGGAAGTTTTTTGGGAGTTTCAGCCTATGTCCAAATTGTGCTTAAGCCTAAGCCTAGACCGACGCTTAAGCGTAAGCCTAAGCCTAACATAAGCGTAAGCGTAAGCATAAGCCTAAACCTTGGAAGCTTCCGGAAAACCTAACAAATAAACCTCAATTCAACCTCAAAAAAACCAAGTTCCGATTCTCATACTCTCCCCCTTTTTATCCAAATTTAACCACAAAACGTGCATCCCCAGGAAAATATCTTCTTTCCTTACCAAAGAACCGCCACAACCGAACTAATATTGCGTGCGAAAACCGCCGAACGCTTTGAGGCCACTCGTGGGAGTATCTTTTCGCCAGATTCCGGGATTGCTCGCTGGATTTTGACTACAGCGCATCACTATTCTGCATCCGGATTTTATTTTTCAGTTCCGGGTTGACTCTGGTTTTGATGCCGATTGATTTTTGGCAGCGCCAAGTTCAAAATTTGGACGTGGAAAATTCTCCAAAATCGATAGTTTCATAGCACATTTAGGTGTAAATTTCACGGCGTAGGCCTTAAATTTCGCAATGGAGTGACGCCAGAAGCGACGGTTTTTATTTTAAATTAGTTTTGAAAATTGCAGATACGAAATTTACGTTATATGCTTTACATTCTGTCTTTCAAAGGAAGTAAATATCCAGATTTTCCTTAAATTTTTACTTGCACGGCTTTAAAAGCGTAATTTTTGTTTTCAAAAAGCAATTAATTCAAGTTTTTCGTTCATTACTTGGGTTTTAAAATGTATAATTAACCTTTGAAAAAATCGCTATTTTTTCCTTAAATTCCTTTCAAAACCAGGCCCCACTGCATTCCTGAAAACTCGAAAATAATCTTCCACCCGGCTGCTAGCGGCTTTCCAAAGGAATCTGCTCGTTCTTTGCTCTAAACCTTTTCTTCGAAAGAGCCTCTACTTTGCTCGTCGAGGTCCCGCGTGCCGCTTTGTATTTTGGTCTTTGCTGCCCCTTCCGGCCCCGGGGGCCCTTTTTTGGCCCCAACTCCCCCAAGGCCCCAAAAAGGGCCCATTCCCGGAATTTTGCCTGGCGAAGAGGGGAGTGCGCTGCAGAGCGCAATAGAAAATTTGAACCCCTTTTTCTTTTAGTCGTTTTTTGTGCTCTTTCTTTGCCGGAAAGCGGGTCCCGTAGCTTTCTGCGTTTTCTGGGCCGGTGAAGCGGAAAAAAAATTGCGGTGAGCGCGTTTTTGCAAGTTTTCCGGCTTTTGGGTCGGTGGCCTTTGGCAAAGGGCTCCTAGGTTTTTTGGAAGTGGTAAAGGTTATTGAGTGAATCGCTTTGGACCATCGATAGAGAGAGAGCGGCTTTTTCTAGAGATCTCTAAAGAGCGAAAAATCCAAAATTACCTTTACAAACTCTCGAATACTTTTTGCTCCATGTTTCAGGCGGTCAATTGGAATTTCAAGTGACATAAAATTACTATTTTGATTTCGAGGAATTCTTGTCTTTTTGTTCTTTCTCTCTCTCTCTCTCTCTCTCTCTCTCTCTCTCTTTCACTCTTTCTTCTTTCTCTCTCTATCTCTCGCTCTCTCTACCCTACTGAACTTTCCTCACCGTTAATCCGATGTGCCAACTCATCACATTATACGTGCAAATGCCCCACTCTGCATAATTTTTTCAACTCCCCTCGTCTTTCCAGCATTAATTATACTCGCCGACGATGTGCAACTCCCCTCCAACATTAATTAGACGTTTCCATTTTTGGACTTGGTCTCCCATAGAGAACGCACTAATGATCCACGACGGAGTACGTTTTTGGAACCCGCGCTGGGCTTCTAATTGTGCGCGATTTTTCGGCGGCGGCGGGAAGGGCTTCACCTGCGGGTGGCAGCTGTTTATTCCAGCTGTCCAATCAGAAAATAGGTGGCAGAGGGCTGCAATTCATTTGGACGGTTTTGGTCCGTCGCAAGATCAGGCGGTCGGTGCTGAACGTTTTGTGACTTGGGTCTTGCCATTACACTGTTTGAGTGTATATTCTCCACTCTCTGGCTCTCGCTCTCCCTCTGTCTTTCTCGCTCTCTCTATCTATCTATCTCTCTCTTTCACTCTCTCGTTTCATTTTGGCACGTTTTTGATAAATTTAACGTTAAACTTTATGAAATATTATCTCAATTTCTTTTTTTTTGCAGGCGCACTGCTCGGACTCGGCGGCGGAGTGTTGGGTGGCCAAAGTGCCGCAGACGCCCAGCAGCAGCACTCGCAGCAGCAGCAAACCGCAGCCATGCTGTCCCAGCAGTTGATCCAGCTCAACCCCAGCGCCCTATCAGGTGAGATGAATCATTTTAAGGGGAGCGAGACACCAAATTGAGCCCCAAAAAGCGGAAAATTCTTTTTGGCCAAAACAAGCGCACAAATTGACCCGACAAAGGGCCTTTAGCTCGTTTTCTAACGTATTTTATGGGCCTGCTTCCGGAAAATCGAGAGTTAACTTGAAATTAGCACTTTCAAGCATCTGCTTGAATTCGAGTGGGCGTCAACATCTTATTAACGATTTTTTCCACCCAGTTGTTACCCTCAAAGACGCCAATTTACGAATGCAACCCCGAAAATCTAGTCTTACCAAATCTCTTCTTGCCCAAAGATCATAGGCGCCCCAGATTTTTTCATTAGTCTTCACCCTCCTGTAGCGTGTTTTTTCCGCCCATACCCGACATCAACAACTCTCCACATTGCGCCTATTCAGGGGGGTGATTAGGTTTTTAGCAATTAACTTTGCAAGCCGGGCAGCTGCAACGGGATTGTTGTACATTTTCTATTAGCCGCCGGCGTTGGGGGTCAATTGCGCCCGCGGGGATTTCATTAGTGTGCTAAAATTAGGTAACTACCGGTTATTTTTTCGGATTTCCTGGTCGGAGAATATGATCGGCAGGGAACCAAAAACGGAAATTGGTGCTTACGAATTCAAAAATAGATTAAAGGGACTTCGAAGTGTAAAAAATGAAGAACGGAGAATCAGCTGCTTTTTTTGGGTGTTTTTCCTGGATTTATTTGGATTCCGGGGCTATTTCATTTTCGGGGAATATGTTTGGCAAAATGCCGAAAATAAAGAATAGCGCTTCAGAACTAAAAACGAAATTAAAGGGGATTGGAAGTGTAAAAAAATCAGCTAAAACCTCAGAAAGCAACCTTTGGCTGTTTTTCAATTACTTAAAGCACTTATTGAAGACTTAATTTAGTCCTTTGGCTTGGCTATTTTCCAAAAGCGCCCATCAACATCCCTAACCTGCCTCCCACGGCCATGTAATCTGATATCACAAGTAGACGAGCTCATTTCGCCTGGAATCATTCCCCGAACTACCAATTTACACCTGCCGGCCCTGCTCTCGATGCAAAAAGGTGGTAGCCTCGAGCCCACGTGAAATACCGTACCGAGTTCGTCTCGTACACACACACACACCAAAAACCGATCTTTTCCACGTGTTAAGCCTTCGACGCTGAGATAGAATTTCCCGGAACCCCGACAGAGCACGCTTTTTGGGGTTTCAAACTTCTCGGAACGCACGCTTCGTCCTAGGTGTACCCCTAGGCCGAAACACTAATCCGTCCCCGGAATTCCGGCCTTCACCGGATTTGGCTACCGGATGAAAAATCGACCCCAAGAGGGATTTGTCGAATGTACCAGATTCAATAAGGCGTTTCCAGGGTTGGGCCGGATTTATTTTACCCTCGGGGCCACCGGGGAATTAGCTGATTTTTGAGAGCTTTCAGACAACGGGCACAAGTGTTTTTGACTTGTCCATGGGTTTCTTGAACATTTTGTGTTTTGGGCATATCTTCCAGAAAGGGTATATAAAGTACGGGAGATGTCATTTGGTGTGGCTCGGACTTTCCTGTTAAATTATAATTTTTCAAGTTTTTCGAGTTTTGCTGTGGAAACAGGAGCTTCAGCTTAGGAGACTTAGTCTTAGTCTTAGCTTTGGGCTTAGGCGTGGGCCTAATTTCTCACTTTTTCTGGATCAAGAACCTTCGATTACACTATTTTTCCAGGAATGAACGCTGCCCAGCTCTCCGTCCTCCAGCAGCACTCCGCTCTCCAGCAAGCCCAAGCCCAGGCCCAAGCCCAAGCTCAGGCTCAAGCCCAAGCCCAAGCTCAGGCTCAGGCTCAAGCCCAAGCCCAAGCTCAAGCTCAAGCCCAGGCGCAAGCTCAGGCCCAAGCTCAAGCCCAGGCCGCCCACGCCCACGCCCAGAACCAAGCCGCCCAAGCCCAGGCACAGGCTCAGGTGAGGCAAAAGGTGAATTATTTTTTATAAATTATAAAAGTGTAATTTTTGGCGATAATTTTAGACTTAAAAAATTGTCGTTATTTTTTAGCTATTGATGCCATTAAACCAAATATCCAACGTCTAGCATTAAGCATACCTTTTTTCACGTTTGTACTGCCCTTTTCCAGGCCCAAGCTCAAGCCGTCGCCGCCCAGCAGGCCGCCTTTGCAGCTGCGCATCAAGTGAGTCTGTAAAAATATTCCCAGCCCGCCCCGAAAAATTCCTCCACAAAAAAAAAACGCGCTCGTTATTGCGGCGTGCGATCGAACTTTGGAGGGGGAAACGCGATGCGGGTAGCACGTCACCAAAAAGCGGACACAAATCCCCAAAATGCCGACCGGGTACCGTAACCGAGCCCAGCGATTACAGGCTTCGCCGATGACCTTCTCGCAGCAACTGGCGGCCGCGCAGCAGAATCACCAGAATGCCCTCAACTCGGCGGCGGCGACAAGTCAGGTAGGGAGGGTTTTGGCTGGAAAAATGGCGTGGGCCTAGCTTTGAATACTTATCTACTACTAGAGGCTATTTCCCGAACTTTTTACAATACGTAATAAAAGCCATTGGGGCCTTCAAATACGAAGCCAGCTTGGTTTGGGGTTGCACAAGCTTAGGCGCAGGCTTAGGATTAGACGAATGCGTCGACATCGGCTTTCCTGGGCTTGGGCGTAGGTTAAACTTAGGGTTAGGCGTAGGCATAAGCTTATGCTTGGGCTTAGGCGCAGGCTTAGACTCAGACTTCGGCTTAGACAACCCGGAACCTGTTATCCCAAGATTTCCTGATCCTCTTAACGACCTTCCAGCTCGTACACAGCTTTAACCTCTAGCTCTAACTTTCTGAATTGACTCCTATGATGTGCCCACGTAATAAACATTACTTATTCCAGCTTACACTAGCGTTGTACCCCCTGAAAAGCTCTTTCCCCAGTGAAGTTTTAAAAACACACTGCATGCACCACTGTACGCGCCACTCCTATTCTTTGACAGTTCTTCGAGCGCTCTTGCCCGACGGCCCGAACACCGTCCGCCTCAGGCGAGCCCTACGGCTCCAGAGGATTCTCCTCCTCCTACCCCTCACCGCAAACTAACCAAACCCAACCGCAAAGGGGCTTTGAGGCGTACTTCCCGCCGCACAGCGGCGCATACCCCCAAATGGTTGGTAGATCGGCAGCATAGGAGAGTGGATGGGCATTATGTCGCAATACCCCCATATATTCCAAATTTCAGGCCGGCGGCTTGCCGTTGTTCATGCAGCCCTCGCAGGCGGCGTTGGCCGCCGCGGCAGCCGCAGCCGCTCCTTCCGCTTCTTCCGCGGCCGGCAACCCGATGATCCATACACATGTCAGTAATATTTTAAAAGTTGGTTTTTGGCTGCGGTAACGGTTTTGGATTTGCTGTCGTGTCGTCGGTACTCGTTTTCGAGAATTTTAACGTAGTGGAGGCTTAGGATTTCCTATGAGTATGTCAAAATTCCATTTGTCGAAGTTTAAGAAATTTAATTTTCTGGGAATTTCACGTTGCCGAAAACCAGTACGACAAACTTCCATTTTTCGAAATTTGTTGAACTCGGGCACTTAGAAACCTGAAATTCCAGCGTATTAAAATTTCGGCAAAACGAAACTCCGACAAAGTGAAATTTGAAAAATTACCTCGACAAACCGAATTTCCACTAGATGATTTTTGCCACAATCCATTTCGGCATTCTGTTTTTCCACATCCCCTTGTTGCCAATTTTCAATCTTCGAAAAGTGTAGTTTGTTCAGAATTTTTAGCTCTATCAGATAAGCAACCCATGCTCATCCAAAATTTTATCTTTTTGCTAATAACACGATCCCGCTTATTGTTGGCAAAATTCGTCTGCTCAATCTTGCATACCGCCATTAACCGTTTATAATACAGCGCAACGACCCCGAAACCGAATTTTCTCCAAAATCATCAAATCCAGCATCATCCTCACCTTCTCTCCCTTCATACAGAGATCGTTGCTAAAATTTGCCCCTCAAACCACAAATCCCCACCTCCAAAATCGGCGATCCGTGAGTGGAGTGAACTCGTCTCAATATCTGAATTAAACATGTCCAAAACCTCAGTCTCAACCAGAGAACCGATCCTAAAGGCCAGGGTGTGAACAGTGTTGTGGTGTCCATTCAGTTTGAACGATGAGTTTTCAGACGGGCGACCACCCATATCTGCCCTGGCCCATCCAGCAGCCGGCCGTCAACGTGCCGTTTTTCGATATTCAGGCTTATAAGGGTGTGAATTTGGATGTCCCACCATCAGAACAGGCCACCGGATCAGACCTGCCGCTCAATGATGTCGCCACGCTTCGGTGAGATTTTTGGAGAATTTAACACGATTTTAAAAAAACGTTAGGAGTTGTACAGTGCCTGAGAATCACTATAAATATTTTGACCATCGACTTTCCATAGTATTTCCGGCGCCCGCGACACGCAACGCACCTGCCGCGCCGCCATTACCTAGCGTGATCGATTTGGTCTAACCTAACGTAACGGTGTGGCTCGCGTTGCGTGTCAATTAGGAGGACCGCAGAAAAAAAGATGAATGGAAAATCCAATAAAATAGTTTTTCAAAAATTTATTGAAGATTTTATATAATCTTACAAAAGGTTATAAAATCTAATTTTTTGCCACATAAAACATGACCAACGAAAACCTGCAAGACAATGACCCCCATTTTTCAGCTTCTTCTTCAACCTTGGAGTACAGCAATCCCGGGTCGTCCTCCTCAACCAGCACCTCAACCAGCACTTGCCCCAGCAGCAGCAGAGCACAGGTAAGACAACTCAAAACCAAATTTGTATGGAAATTTGGAGCGCTGTGACGTTATTAAATATACCCATTCCAGCTCAAGCCAGCGCTTCGGCACCTCCTGCCCCTATGGTCCCACCAGGAACTCCTCAGAACGCTCTTACAAATCAGACACCTACCTCCACTCCGCAGTCTCAGGCCCAGCCGCTCAGCGGTGTTCAACTGCATGTAAGTGGCGGTCGATAACTAAAACAACATCGAAAAGATACTTTACCCGACCATAACATCCCATTTTCAGATGGCCCAAAGCCAGGCCGGCTCTCTCAGCGAGCAGCAACTGAACGCCTTGGCCGGGTTGTTACCACAGAACCCGCTTTTGAGGTAGGTGATCGAGTTCGTTGCGGCTAAAAATGGCCCGGTACTCTATTTTTACCTCCTAAGGTATCACAAAAATTACTAAAGTGAATTTTTAGACAACAACAACAAAACCTACTCGCCCAGGCGCAGGCTCAAGCCCAGCAGCTTCAGCTCGCTGCCCGACAACCGCCGGTGCCGCAAATTGACCCCGTCACCAGCCATTCAATTACGGGTGCCCCACAGGTGAGCCGAGTTTTCTGAGCATGAGCTTATTTGGCGGTTAGCTTGGGTTAGCTTGGCTTAGGCTTATGATAGGCTTAGCTTAGGCTTAGGCTTAGGCTTCAGATTTTCTTAAAAGCTATGTAGTCAGTGCCTGGGTTCATCCAGACCAAGTCCCAGATCAGAAAACTCACGTATCCATAATATCCGATCGAACATCCGCTTCCGCCCCAGTCATCGAAAAGAAACGGCTGAATACACAAAGCTAGCCAAATTCCCGGCATGTTTGAGCCCGGCAGGAAATGTCGGATATACCAGGATGTACCTGAAAGACCCAAAAATCTATAAAAATTCAAAAAAATTGATTTATTTTATGTTTTCAGATGGCCAAGCCTCAAGTCCCAGCCACCGCGCCAAAGCCGGGAAGCTTGGAAGCTCTCCTGCTTCATCAGGCTCTGCAAGCGGCACATAATCGTGAGTTTTTAGTGGAAACGTGTTCTAAAAGTCTCTTTTCTTCATTAGGTGTATTTTTAATGACCTTAATGCCTTGAGAAATATGTACAAATTAATGTTCAGCCGCCAACAACCGCGCCCTCGGCAACCTGGACGCTTTCCGGATGCAAATGCTGCAGCAGGGAGGGGCAGGTGCTGGTGGCCCGATCCCAGCCCCTGCTCCGGCTCCCGCTGGTCTTCCCGCTAGCTTTCGCCTGAATGCTGAGGTACTGTAACTTGTGGCATACTGTAATTGGACAATTTTTAGCAAATCTTGAAGCAAACCGCTGACGCAATTTCACCGCGCCCGCCAGTTCCCGTGGACCCCGCACCGAGCCCGATGAACACCATGCGGTTGTTGCAGGTGAGGAAAATGATTCTATTTTTGTAGACTTTGTAAAGCTTGTGGTAATTACTGTTTTATAGTCATTAATATACTGCCTTCTTGATGGTTGAGACCCAATTGTTTTTAACGCATCTAACCAAAATTTTCCATAACAGAAGTCGAAAAATTTTATGGCCTTTTGTTTTTTATCAAATTCAAATTACTATGTGACTAGAATAATTTTGTTAATATCATAAAAACGCCCTAAATGGGTTTGACATGGGATGATTACTTATGTTTTAAGGTAAGTATCTTTAATTTAAGGTAATTTTATTACAAATGTTTTGTGAATATTTTTGTACAACGTACTAAATTCAATAGATCAGTAAGGCTTTAATCTGCAATTAACTAATCTAAAATTTAATGGGCGGTACCCTAATTTTCTAGTATAGTCACGAACCCACAGAATCAAATTTCGCGGGCACTCGTTTGCCCTCAGCCAAGGGCCACAGTCACGCACCCTTTAAGACGATATTTCAGCTCCAGCAGCAGCAGCAGCAATTCTCACAGGCGCAGAACCAGGCCCTTGTCGCTGCTCATCAGGCTGCTGCCCACGTCGCTCAAGAAAATATGAGGAAATTGTCGGCGGCAGCGATTCTTGGAGGCATTCCGATCAGTGCCGCTTCGGCCGCCGCCCTCAGCCAACGCAGCACCCCGTTGCAGGTTGGTAGCTTTTTGTAGGGAGAGTCGGACTCCATTAATCCACCAATACGCACACAAGAACGGTTGACTGTCAGATTGCCGACCGCCAAAATCCCGGCCCGCAAAGTTAGCCTTCTGAATTCTCGCTGTCGGCATTTTTGCGATCGCCTTGTCGCCATTTTGAGAACCACCGAAATTTTGGCTTGTCGGTATTTTAGGGGTCAGGATTTCGACTTGTCGGTATTTTGCCAGTCAGCATCTTTGCAATTCAACAATTTTTGCGCAGTCTCAGCTTGTCGGTATTTGAAAGTCGAAAACTCAGCTTGTCGGCATTTTGACGGTCCTAAATTCGGCGTATGGGCCTCTTTACAGTCTGAATTTGGGCTTATCGACATTTTGAGAATCGGAATTTCGGCTTGTCGGCGTTTGAATAGAAGAATCTTGGCAGCGACAAGTTCAACAGTTCATGCCACTCTCGTTTTTAACATCACCTACTTACCCTCCTTTTAACGAAACAGTTTCTGCAGCAGCTGAGCCGCCCCGCGACCGCCCACAGCGGTAGCGTCGCCGTCGAGGACGTCAACGCCTCGCCCAACCTCATCCAGGTCTCCGAGCGCCACTTCACCGAGGCGTTCAAAAACCAGAATGATGGGAATAGGTGGGAATAGCTTCGGGTGACCCAATTTCCAAGTTTCAGCCTCGCCATCGGGATCCGACGTCCGCAGTCTGATGCTCGGATCGATGCGACAGCGCCATCATCATCGAACTCGAATGGGTCGCCGAATAATCCGGAAAATGGGGAGGCAAAGCCTCAACAAAATGAGGAGGATGGACAGCCGGCTGTAAGTTCAGCCACTTTTTGGATACATGAGGCCCAATGACGTATTATAAACGACGATATTGCAAAAATAGTGCCGAAAATTAATGCAGAATATGCTTTAAAATCAATATATTTTCAGCTAGCCCCCATTCTGATGATGTCCTACCTAAATACCTGCATCGGAAAAGTGAAGAACCAACTTCATTCCAACGGCATGGGCTTGACGTTTGACCCGAGTGGACGGCCGGTGAGTCTTTTTCAAGGATGTATATTTTTAATGCAGTTAATGTACAGGGTGTCCCAAATAAAATTCCGTTTTTTACGATTTAGGTACCTATCGCAAGCTCTCGGAAAGGCGAGTCCAGCACGTCTTGCCAATTTTCGAAAACTCGAAATTTTTCTGTCATTTACTAATGTTTTTGCAATACGGGCGGATTTTCTGATGTTTTTCTGACCTCCGCGTTTTTTACAAAAATCGCAATTTAAAAATTTTGATGCCTTTTCTGGCAGCCCAACGACGGCTTTTTGCAAGCCCTTCGCAAGAACAGAGCTTGGATAGCGCTTAAACCGATCAAATTGTGTTTTTGGTTAAAAAAGCGTGTCCTTTTTGCATGAAAAATGCTGGAAAACGAGGAAAAATTTTTGAGGTTTCGAAAATTGGCAAGACGTGCTGGACTCCTCACCTTTACGAGAGCTTTCGATAGGTACCTAAACCGTAAAAATCGGATAGGTCTGCGGCCGTCTGGGGGGGGGGGGGGTTTGGGACACCCTGTATATATGTCTATAAAACCATCGACTTAACATAATTTAAAAAAATGATTTCAATCACTTTTGTTTCAGATCGACTACGCCTCACGCCCCATTGACCCAATTTTCCAGTCGGCCCGCAAACAGCTTGAGAACCAGCTGGAGTACAAAGACGCCACGACGAGCTCTCCTGATGGTACGGTATCCTTGGCACTGTCTAGAATATGAAAAACAACCACTAGTTATTATCCTAAAGCACACCTTTCAGGAGCTCATGCATCCGCAACGTCCGCAAATGGTAGCCCCACGGACAGGAACCCTGCTGTTTCGATGGCTCCGTTGGGAATTAAGTAGGTTTTACAAGGATTTGCCAATGAAAATTATGTAATCAATTTTGTAATGACCATTAATTTTGTAAATTATTTATATTAATGTTTTAGCCGAGGGCCCAGTGATGCGACCGTCGAGCCGAAAATGGAGACCCGCTCGACGCCTGAGAAAAGGGATCTGGTCGTTGATGGTGAGTTTCGGATACTTTTTAAAGTGCCTATTATAGCTGTTTATTGATTTGAATTTGGTGTTGGTTAATCTTGGAACTAGATGAGTAGATATTTTTTGTAAGCTATGCTAAATTCGGTAAGAGTTTACCCTCCCCCCCCGACAGCGAAAGGGGTCTCAAAGTTTCCGGTATTTTCACCTATTTTGTCGGGATTTTTGCAACACCACTCGATAGAACGTCAAAAAAATATACTAAGAATGCCAAGTTGAGCCCACAATAATGTAAAATAAAAAAGTTCCAGCGGGGGGGGTAAAGTAAACCGTTGCCCCTAATTCAATTCATCTAAATTAAACCGAGTGTCTCTACCTTTGGGAGCCTTATTAATAAGTGTCTACCTTGTTACTAAAAATAGCAAACAATCGCTCTTTAATATAAAGGATCTTATTTGACTAGAAAAATGGAAATTTAGGTATTTTCATAAGGCTAAAAGACGCTTATTACAGGATAAAGGATAAAGTGGCTTTGAAACCTATATTTTATGAAACACTCAGTAAAATATAATATTTTAATAAGTAGCAATTTGTTCTTTTTCAGATCGAATCGAGGTGAAGGACGACCTCGACTCAAACCACTCGGGTCATTCCAGCCCCCCGGAGAAGCGACTCCGGATAGCCACCGATGAGGATTGAATTGCTTATATTAAATTCTCTATACCTATATGCATTATTAATATCAATACAAAGCCACCACCCTACTTTCCAGTACCATTGACCCGATAGCCTGCGAGTTGTGCATTTAAGAATATTGTATCTTCCCGTTTTCTGGTTGTTTTTTGTGTGAGACCCTAAAATTCGACTTTATTCCATGTTGTGCCCATATTACTCAGATTATCATATTCACCAACTCGTTTCTCGTCTCGTCCTTTGATTGCCGTTTTTTGGTATTCCGATTTCTTTTTTATTTTGCCGTCCGTTTTTTTTTGGAGTTTGTACCGAAATTGCTATGTTTCTGTGTGATCCCGAACATGATTCCAAGTACCACTATTTGCAGACAGAGCCCCCCTATAATAGCCCCCTCGACCATTACGTATTTTTTCTTTCTTCTTTGTTCCTTTGTGCTCGATGCGCTGTCTTTGTACACGCAGTTCTTTTGACAGGATAAAATATGATTTTTTGGGAGGTAGGAACATGCAATGCAGGGAAAAACAGGTTCGAAAATCATCTGTTCGAAAACCGTGTGTTCGAAAATGGTCATTTTGATATGATTTCGAGGCAATTCCATATGTAAATTTTCCGAACAGGTGATTTACGAACAGATGATAGGGAATCCAAAAGCATAATCGCGTAAGACACTGAAGAAAATCTGACAAACCGCGAAATAAGGTCCAAAAATGACCGTGCTTTGCTTTCGCTGGCAAAAAAAGCCAAAACGCGAGTAGCTACAGTTAAAATCAAATACGAGACGGCTCAATGATGCCTAGAAAATGTAATTTTAGCATAAGCTTTGGAATTTTTGATAATTTTGACAAGTCGGTCTTTAAATCCTTTTTTCACAGGATTGTAAACACTCAGGTCTTTACCGTGTTTCCTCTAATATAGCCCCCCCCCCTCTAATATAACCTTACCCAAAAATTTTTTCGAGGTTTCCTTTAAGAAGCAAAATGCCGAAAACGTTTTTGTATAAGCGTCATACTGCGTTCCTGAGTGGTTGTGAGCTGTTTCCAGTTCTAAAAATCGCTGTATTTGCTCAAAAACACGAAAAATATTTTTCGTCCCTCTAATACAACCCCCGCCCCTGAGGTGATTGAAAAAAATATAACCACCGGGATTATATTTGAGGAAATACGGTAGTTTACGAAGGCCTTTTTTTGCTTTTTCGATGCTAAGTAAGAATTCATCCCGAGTAAATCGAATTCCGGAACAAACTCACCCTTCCTAAAAGCTCATAAAGTGCCAAAGAGTCAGACAAACAATGTATCAATCGTTCAACCACCTGCCTCTTAATTAAAGAAATATTGCGCCCACTTCCACCTGTTGCAAAGATGCAGAACGGTTTCTCGATTCGCGTGATTGCACTTGAATTCCCTTGCCGACCCTGGCGCGCTGATCAACGTAATGACACCATACACCTATGAAGATCCGACCTTATACAAAAATCTATCCACCGCAATGGCCCTTGTCGGGAAAATTTTAGCAAATTTTAGCACCGCCGCACTGATTTTGCATGTGACGACACCCGCCATGCGATCGTACTCACGAATTTTATTCTTTTACCAGGTGCACGTGCCGTACTCGAACCAAAAATTTTATTCTATAGATCAGCTCGGCGCTCTTTGAACTGTTCCTTCATTTGGCCGGCCAGGAATGGTTTATCCCGCCGACGTGCATAAAATTCCACGGACTCCTCGGCTATTTGGGGCCCAGAGTGTTGGGTGTTGGTTTTAACTTCTGACGAAAAAATATCGCCCACCAAACTACCAATGCAGAAAAAAATTGCGGCACGAATACATAGTTGCTGATATGCTATTGATTGATTCTGTGATTTTTATGTCACTTCGAAGTTGTTAAAAAGCATAGCAAATATCCGATTTGCTATCTTAATGTCGAAAATCATAATTACCAAAACCATAAGGCCGAAATCAAGAATTTCGTCATTTTTTTGCATATGATTCGGGGGTTCGGGGGATCGGAAATTTCTGGACTTTGAAATTGGGCAAAAAAATTGTTTAGATAAGGTAATCGTTAATATGGTACCTTTTTAAGATTATCGGAGCCAGCCTTCTATTGATGACTGTAATTGGCATAGCTGCCTGTTTCATTTATCGCCATCGTCAGATCTTGACCGCCGGACAGTGGCTCAGGTAATTTAAGAATGTTTTTGCCAAGTTTGTTGATCTTGGCTCGCCCATATTCTGTAATTGAAATCTTCGAGAAATTCATTTCACTCGAAAATTTTCTTGAAAAATTTAGGCCGGGACGGGGGTCTTCTGGAGCTTACAAGGGGACGTTTCGAAGTGATAGTTCGATTGAGCAATGAGAGATCCCACGTCTAGACTTTCTTTACGCTAATTCCAAATCTGCAGCCAGTTTCTGCCACAGATTTTCACGTTCAAAAATTTACTTTTGATTGCAGTGGAATCAGCATCGTTTTTGACAGATGATTTGTTATCAAATTTTTGGCTGCTCTTTCGTGAAGCAACAGAAAACGTCCTTTATCTTAAAAAACTAAAGCTCTATTGCAAAACTTGGCTGCAGATTCGGAATCAGCGTAAAAAAACGGTCTGGACATGGGGTCTCTCATTACTTGAACGAAATATCACTTTGGAATCTTGTTAGCTAATTTCTTAAAATCAGAGTTTCGCCCTGGCTATGGCTCATTTTCCTTCTTTTCGAGTATTTGCTGTGGGTCGGCGGGTTATCGGCCGTGATTTATCCAGCCGTATTCACCCAGGATTTGGCGGGGCCGAGGATGCAGCTGCTCTTGCGGGTACTCATTCACTTTTCATGGAAAATCGGTCGCATTCAGATCTATCCAAACTGGCGGTTCCTCCTCGACGTGCCCGACCTGTGGTTGATGGACGGGAGCGCCAAAATGGCGTTCCTACCGTTTACCTCATTGTTCGGCTTCGTTTTCGTGGCCATGCTGGCCAGCGCTAATTTTGTGGCCGGGGTGGGTCAGCCAGGTGGATGTCAAAAAGGGCATAAATTAGCGCATTTTTAGCGCAAATGGCTGCAAATTTTGGACTGTTTTTGGCTTTTAAATTACGAATTAAAACGTCTAATTTCAGGTAGAAAATCCTATAGAATCTTTCAGATTCGCGGGCGGGGGGCGAGGGCCCAAAAGGACCAAATTGTCGACTTTTTCAAACATTTTTCTAGCTTTTCTAGAAAGTTTTTCGACTTTAAATATAGTTAAAACTTACTAAGAACAATGTGAAAACACGGGACGGGATTAAAAAAATCTCATGAGTTTGATTCCCTACCCTATCTAGGGATTAGACTTACAGGCCGGCGTGCTAATCGTTCACAGCGTATATCTTCTGAAACACGGCCTCGGCCATATGAGCCAAGCCACACGCCAAATGCATCAAAAACTGATCGTGAATATGTTTCTGCAGGTGGGCCAGTTGTTTGGTATACCGGGTGTCCCAATAAGCAACACATCCCTCTAACTCGACGCAGAAATATAGGGTCGGAACGATAGTTCAACCATTCCGAAGCCCTTGAAACAGCGAGTTTGCAACATTATTCAGAACCACCTTTTAATTTGACGCGCTCCTTTGCCAGCATTTAAAGACATTTAAGAGCGCCTTCTGCATCCATTTAACTATGCAACCGCGAAAAACCGCAAAATTTTACCAAAAATATATAAAAATTAGTGTATGTGTGTGTAGCTTTGCAGGCAACTGCCGTCAGTATGTATTTCTCGATAGTGAAAGAGTTTTAGAGTAGGTTTGATACGTCATTAGATGCGTAATGGTCACGAGATGACTGCACACATGCCAAGTCGCCAAAAAAGTGCTATTTTCGATATCGGGGTTAGCGGGCGTAGCCCGCTAACCCCTTTTGGTTTGAGGTACCCCCCCATACGACTCTTGTGGGGTCCTTTTCCGGATTTAAAAAAGAACCAGGCATCGGATCGCAAAACTGAATACACCATCGAAACCGGCGACACTTTTTACATACTATAAGCTTTTAAAAATTGAAAAAGAGTGAAATTTCGAATTTTAACAGCCGATTTAAATTGCGTTTCGAGGGGGGGGTCTGCGTGTGTTTGTCTGCACGGAAACCAATGTAGCTGTCAAAAAGTGCCTTCCCATGGTCCGTTTGGGCTGAAATTTTCCACATATATCGACTTGATGTAAATGAAGGTGAGGAAGAAGCGTTTTTTTGAAAATAGGCTTTAAAAAAATTTTTATTGAATTTTTAAGTTTAAAAGCTAAATTGCGGCCAAAACAAGGGTTAGTGATGTCCGTTTGGGCTGAAATTTTGCTCAAATATGCATTAGACCTTGTCGGATAAAGTAAAGAAGAAATTGCGTGGAAAGAATCCTTCTCCTTGGAGTTATTATAACTTTAAAACCTTCGCCATACGGGGCACCACCCTCCCCTTTCTCGGCCTCCAGTCCCCGCAAGGGGGACGGGTCTAGCTCCCCCAAGACAGGCCTCCAGTCTCCCGGTTGGCCTAGTGGTTAGCACGCTGTACTGGGAAGATTTGGCTCCCGGGTTCGAACCCCACCCGCAACATCAATTTTGCCGATTGGCCCGAATGCAGCCCTATGGTTTCTACTGCCGATCCAAAGCGCCGCAGGCAAATTTTTTTTAAGTATTGGGTACAAGGGTCCATCTGAATAAATTATACCGTGGCTTATTTTACGATTTTAACAACAAGATTGTGGCAAAAAGGGCTAAATTCTCTCTAAGGCTAAAAAGAGTCTTTTTAAAAAGGGGCTTTTGGTTTTCGCAAAAAGAGACGAATTCTCGTGGCAACAAAAAGTGCTAAATTCCTTTCAAACTCTGAAAAATGCCATAAAATGCGCGATCAACAAAAAGTTGCTGGCTATTTAAAATCGTGTTAAACCTGGCACTGTCCCAGATATGTAAATTTTTACGACGAAAGCTGGTAGATAACAGATAATCTGGAGATTACTTTCAAGAAGGTGGAAATACACCATAATACAGGAACTATTTATTAGTAGGCCGAACGGCTAAAAAATAGAGCTGCCGGTTTTAATAAGGTACCAGCAACTTTTGGTTGATCCCACATTTTATGGCATTTTTCAGAGTTTGAAAGGAATTTAGCACTTTTTGTTGCCACGAGAATTCGTCTCTTTTTGCGAAAACCAAAAGCCCCTTTTTAAAAAGATTAAAATTGGGTTTTTGTAAAAATTTCCGTCGGCCTCTTTGTTAGGAATCAATTAGCATGCGCCGGAAGTGACGAAAGCCTATATAGCAAGACCGAAGACGTATTTTTATTATTTTGGCATTGCGGTTCGTGCGAATTATGCAAACTGTGAACTCTCATTGGATAATACGGAACCAAGGCTGAAAAGTTAGCGGCTTTTCAACCCTGGGGGCTTTTAAAATAGCGGGTTTAAATACATGGTTTCGAAGCTGCAGACTCGCTTTTTAAAACCATGTTTTTAATTAAATGCGCTGTAATACAACGCATTTTAAGACCTCAGGGTACGGTCTCTGTATCTAATTAACGGCTACTTCCGGTCACTTTTTTATCAAGAAATAGAGGCCAATTAGCTCCTATGCACTTTGAAGAACAACAAAATTCTGCAAAATGGCCTGTAAAACAGCGCATTTAAACAGAAACATGGTTTTGAAGATTGTGGCAAACTCGCCGTTTCAAGGGCTTTCGAATGGTGTAACTACCATTCCGATCGGAGACTGCTACGTCAAGTAGAGGGGGTGTTTTTTACTGCGACACTCTGTAGTGCACTATTATGTGTAGCGTTTCTAGTAATACAGCCCATTTTTGGGAATTATTTTGATCCAACAGTCCCTTAGTTATTGGTGCCCCTGCTGACGCTGACCATCCCATGGGCGGCCGGCGTGCTGATCGTCTACCTGGATGTGGAACTACCACTAGGTTACCTTCTTGTTGTTGTCCTATAATATTCAGCAAAAACTTCAGTAGTCCCGAAAATACTCTTTCTGATCAACGGATGCCACGGGATAATGTCGTCTGTGCAAATCGTGTACCTGACGCGACCCTATCGCCAGTTTGTAATCTCGTTCTTCAAGCCGAAAACGTTTGCAATTTCCAATTCCTAACCGAGGATTTTTAGCACCCGTCGCGCCCACGGTATCTTTTACGTTGGCCAAATCTCGACGACGAATCCGCGCTCGGCAAAAGAGACGCATGGGTTATAGTGCCATGCTGGTTTTGAAAATAAACATGATCTAGCGAAAATACCTAGGGGTAGTCCTAGACGAATGCACAAATAATATTGTACTTAACAAAATTGGCCGAAACCGACCTGATAATGACCATTTTCGGAACATTACTCAAAATCGGCGTGCTAATTGCGAAAACATGGCCAAAAATGAGTACCAGAATTTCCCAAAAATCAGCCTTTTAACGAAAATTTTTTAGGTTTACAATATTTTTCTTTGAAAATTCCGATGCACATAGTCCCGTCATTGGTAAGAATTTGGTCGCGATACCAAGGGAGAAGACGGCCAAATGTCGAGTGGGGAGGGTGTTTGGCACACGCTGTATAGTATGAATTCAGTAATCCCAAAGCTCCTTTTCGCAATGAATGGATGCCACGCGATCATATCGTCCGTGCACATTATCTACCTAACAAAGCCGTATCGAAATTTTGTCATTTCACTCTTCACGCCAAGATGGTAAGCAGGATCGTGTGCGCGTACTCTCGTAACTTTACAGCTCTCGCTCGCCCCGGTGCGAATGTTTTCCAAGTCAGCCTTCAGAAGAGCAAAGGCGGCATTTCGGTAACAACGTTTCGTTCCGCGAAATGAGTATCGCTGCTACTTATTTCTTAGTGCCTTTCTAGCTTTTTCAATAAAAGACGAACCAAATTTTAACGGGGCCAGCCACGTCTTGCAATTACAAGAAACGCACCCCAGTGGAACCTGTCGCGAGTGATGGTTTCCGCTTAATCAAGTGCATGACAGTGCCGTTAACATTTTTCGAAAGGATTGCAGTCTTGTTGGCGTCTTGAAGACAGGGAACGGTGACCGTGCTGACCGGGAAAACGTAAAATAATGTGGGAATTCGTCTGGTGCAGGGTTGTCCATCGCGTCCATCCAAAACTTTCGAAGCCTCTATCTCGGCGGGCACTCTACCATCACCATGATTTCACCATGATTCGCTACAAGAGTGAGAGTGGGAGAGAGGCCGAGAAGAGAGAGAGAGAGAGAGAGCGAGAGAGCGAGGGAGAGAGAGCATCAGAAAGCAATAAACACAGACAAACAGGCACGTGTTGCGCAATTACGAAAATTATTCCAGTTTCACCTGCATCTTAAAGCACCTAACTGTTTTCATCAATCGGCCCGGGCCTTTTCTTTGTGTTGTTAGTACGTATAAGGAACTTCACTTATGATAAACTCGACCTATGAAGACCCAACGATCTACAAGGCCGTTTTCACCGGCATGGCCACCATCGGCGTTTTCGTTAATTTTGGAACTGCTGTCCTGATTATATACGCGAGTACACCGTCGATGAGAGAGTATTCCAAATTGCTTCTCATCTACCAGGTCTTTCGCAAATTTGTTGAGAATATTATTACAGCTTTCCTCGGCACTTTTTGAGGTTTGGATTCACCTCATGGTGCCGGAATTTTTCATTCCGCTGAGCTGCTTCAGTTTCAAGGGACCTTTGGCCGGATTGGGTATTCACATTTTAGGGGTACGTGGCCACTTTTTTACGAGGCGGGTTCTTTTTAGCGCTCAACGGATTTCTTTATTTCAGATCGGCGGTACCGTCCTCTTAATGTCGATGGTTGCTGGGGTATCATTCTGCTTTATCTATCGACATCGACAAGTGCTACCCGTTGGCCATTGGGCTAGGTAAGACGCAAAGCTGCATGACTAAGATTATTCTCGAATTTTCATAACCTCGGAATTTTATTACTTCAAAGTTTTCCTATTTTTTATCAAAGTTCAAGTTTCAAAGTTTCAATTTTTTTTTTGTAAACGTTTTTTGTGCATCAAACCTTGCCCAACGCCTTAAAATCATCTTCTGCCAGGTTGTCCCCGTGGCTATAGGGATGCATTGTTGCATTCGAGTACACAATTTGTACGAGCGGTATATCGATTGTGATCAGCATGACAGTGTTAACGCAAAATAAGTCTGGAACTAGTATGCAACGAATTTTAGAGGTATTCCAATTATTACAACGGTCGTTAGCATTTGCTCAGAGCCATCCAAATCACCGCTTCTTGCTCGAAGTGCCAGAACTCTGGGTGCTAGATTCGACGGTCGAATACCCGTTTTCCCCTATGGCAGCGTTTTTCTCGGCCGCCACCTTCATGTGCACCAACGTTTTGACAGGAGTAAGTCGGAATGCTCCTAAAATTTGTGGTTGTAGGGCGTATGTCTAATAGCACACAGTTTTCATTTGCTAAATTCGCGCTTCGACCATATGAGCGCTGCAACGCGGAAAATGCAGAAGCAGTTGATCACCAATATGTTGCTACAGGTGCGCTTGTTTCGAGGAGCGTTTTTCCGAATTTACAGGATGTCTCCGCCATTTCGCCGTATTACATCCGATCGGCCCCAAAATTCGACCAGAGGTGTAAGAGCCCTGAATAGCCACAATCCTGGCTTCTAGGCCAGCTACCGTAATTTCCGAGATACAATAAAAATAAACTTTATTAGCCTTTTTTGTTCGGTTTTCGTCGGAGCCAATCCTTAAGTGAGATGAGGGATTCTGAGCCGACGAGCTATGCAAATCGCTGCCAGTCCAAAAAGATAGCCGAAAAAACTGTTAATGATCGCGTAAAAACACTATTTTGGGGCCAACTCGAGAACTACTGTAGCTCAGGATGGTGTTTATTTATGGTCCTATACACCCTTTGGCAAAGTATGGGACCGATTGGATGTACATAATACGGCGAAATGCCGGGGAGTGTTTGGGACACCCTGTTGGTAGTTCCAGTAGAGGTGGCTCCCTTCTTGGTCATGACATATAAAATATTCTCAGCTATGCATCCCCTTCATGTCATTGACTTTCCCATGGTGGATCGGTGGAATCATTATTGGCTTTGATATCGAAGTCCCACAGGGTTACAGTGGATTTCGTCATCCCGATTTTATCCATTTTAGCCGTACCAAAGGTCTTCTTCGTCATTAACGGATGTCATGCAATAATATCCTCCCTGGAGATCATTTACCTCACCAAGCCATATCGAGAATTTATGGTTGGGCTGTTTTGGCCAAAAACGTATGACAAAAGCTGTTTTCAATGCGGTATTTTTTACAGCGCACGTCGCGACACCAACGTGTCGATCGTCAGTTTTCGGTCGGCGGGGCACAACGTCAGTTCGGCGCCGCGATCGGATCATTAGGCTTTACAGGGGGATGACGATATCCTTCATTCCGCCGGCTTTCATTTCGCTAATTGCCTGAGGCAAAATATCCTAATAAATAGCGGATTTCAACGCCCGCATTTTCATGGCCGAGGTTTCGGTTTAGGCCTAGGCTTAGGCCAGTTCATGGAGTGAAGTAAAAATTCATCGCCCCATCAGCTCATTAAAAGTAGTTAAACTATCTCCAAAACTCCAATACCTCTACCTCCAACCAAGTAAATCCGCATCAGCTGAACTCCTTGGAGTCGTCGGAAGCTGAAAACCCAGAGCGAAAAACGCTGAATTTCGCAAAAACCCAGCCGCATTCGCTGTTTACATTTACAAAGCTATTTATTTACAAAGCCAAATTCCCTCGCGCTCGCATATCTGGTCTTACCGGTCTCTACAGTTACTACCACCGAGGGTGTTTCGCTAAGTCCTGCACCATCTTTTCGTAGCAGAACACCGCCAAAACTGTGAAAAATTTAGCTCGTACCAAATCTCGTTTCAGTCATTATAGACAGCTGAATTCTCACCTGCAAGCCCACCAGCTTCTTGAACGGCAGAAATCTTTCTAATGAGAAGAGTTTGCTGCCATAACAATTACCAGAAAATGGCCCCGATTATCTATTACCAACCTACCGTCTACAAAACCGTCTCGCTATCGATTGCATTGATTGGGATCCCGATTAATTTTGGCACCGCGTTGCTAATTTTCTATGTATCGCCCCGTTATATGAAAGAGTACTCGAAATTTTTGCTGCTTTATCAGGTCTGGCCTTGGTGAATTTTTAAGGCAACGTTCATATTAGATCTTCTCGAGCACTTTTGAGCTCGGTCTGCATTTGGTGGCGCCAGAATGGTTTATTCCGGTGATGGGGTTTAGGTATCATGGTGTTTACGCGGATCTTGGACCAAAGTGGATCGGGGTGAGGATTGACTAGATGGATAGTAAAAACGCGAGAGCGAGAGAGAGAGTGAACGAGACAGAGAGAGAGAGAGAGAGAGAGAGAGAGCGAGAGAGAGGGCGAGCAAGGGAGAGAGATAGATAGAGAGAGACGGAGAGAGAGAGACAGAGATACAGAGAGAGAGAGAGAGAGAGAGAGAGAGAGAGAGAGAGAGAGAGAGAGAGAGAAGCGCGAGTGAGAGGAAGAAACAACGAGAGAGGAGACTCATCATCCGCACCTTAAGTTGCTCTGCGTGACAATTTTAATGCTAGTCGTCGTCGGAATTGCCTTTTGCTTTATCTACCGGCATCGTCAGGTGCTACCACTTGGACACTGGGCAAGGTATGCTTAAGAATGTGTTCAACTTCGCAATTTATCTTATCATCCAAAATCTACCGAAGCCTCATTCAGACTTCCACCTTGGATTTGGCTGCTCGTCGTCCTAATCGAGTATATTTTCTGCACAGGCTTCGTCTGCGCCGTAATTTGCATGGGATCGTACACAGAAGATTTAACTGGATCCGCTATGCAGAGAATCGTGGAGGTATCGATTTTTTTAACTTTTCTTTTTCCGGGGATTTTTCAGTACTTCTCATACCCATACCTCTGAGCAGGCCCGTAGCGGAGGCGGAATTTCGGGGGGCAAAAACTTTGACGACCCCCCCCCCCCCCGTCGCCACTTTTCAAATACCCCAATATCGCCGCTAACACAGCGCGGCAGGCAAAAAAATATAGCAAAGAGTGTTCGTTACGATCAAATTTGTGGGAAAACATCATAAAAGAGGCGCCGCAGGCGAAAAATTTTGGAAAAATAGGCTTTATCGAAATAAAAACTTTCTTAAAAACAGGAATAAACAGTTCCGCAGGCAGAAAAATTTTTATAAAAAAATCCCCCTGGCCCCTCTCCGCCTCCTATGAGGCCTGCTCCTCAGTAACTTCTTGTAGGAGTACCCGGATTGGAAATTCCTACAGAATCTATCGAACTTGTGGATAATCGACCGACCGCCAGATTTTGCGAGTTTTCCGGTTTTCGGGGAATACGCCTATTTCGTATCGATTGTCGCCACCAACATCTTCATTGTGATGGTAAGTGAATGGCCGGCATAAACGCTCGGTTTAGGGTGTATTTCTCGTGGCGCACAGTTTTTATTTGTTAAGCCAGCAGCTGCTCCACATGAGTTTGGCCACGCGAAAGTTGCACAAAAAGTTGATCGAAAACATGTTGTTACAGGTGGGGTTGATTTTGTAGTTTGTGGGTTGAGCTTGAGGTTATTTTATTGAACGGCTTGAACCCTAAATTGTAAAAAAAAGAATTGAAAAGTAAAAATTGAACACTAAATGGGTCGAAAATTAGAATTTTGCCAATCGAACTGATACTAGTCGTTCAGCAGATCGATGGACTTGTGACTTCGGCAGTAAAACCCTTTGACATGCTTCAAAACCCACTGACGAGCTTAAAATCCACTTTCGATGACAATCTAATTTTTAAGGTATTTGTCCCTTTTCTAACATTAACAATTCCTTGGTTGATGGTCGGCATCATGGTCGCGAAGAAGTACGCGCCACCGTTAGGTATCTACCGAGGAAAACGTTTTCCAAAAATTCATTGTTTCAGCCTTGACCCAAGTGATCATCCTCATCAACGGTTGTCACGCCATATTTTCGTCATTTCAAATCGTCTACCTGACCAAACCCTATAGACAGTTTGTCATAATGTTGTTTAAACCGAGGAGGTAGGCCTGGACCCCACTTTAACTCAACTTATAAAGTGCGCGGCAAGAAACGACAGGAGTCAATGCCGGCAGATCGACGGGAATGCGACTTCATGTTGGGTCGAAACGATCAGCGAGTATTCCGGTTAAACCACCACTACGCGCTATATAAAAAAATAAATCAAGAGCTTCACTTGAACTCCTTGAACTTGTCGAGCAACCCAAAACAAGTAAAACGTGCAGGAAACCATTTTTGGTTGTCTAACGATTAGAGAAGCGGGCTGAAGATAGCACCTGCGTGAAGCCAGAAAAATGATTTCTCAAGCACATCAAGCCAGCGAAATCACCCTATTTGCTCTAAAATTTTCGCGTAATGACGCTGTGTGTCTACGATGAACCGATAATTTATGTAACTTCTTGCAAAGCTTTTACCGTGATTGGAATGCCAATAAATTTCGACACTGGAGCGCTGATCCTATTTGCGTCATCGCCCTTTATGAAAGAGTATTCAAAGTTGCTAGTATTTTATCAGGTTTTAGGCATTGTGGGGTGGTATCGACCACGCGACCGCCGATGCGTTCCGCACCGTGTCATTTACCGGGGCCTCCGCCATTGGTGGGTTGTGGAGAGGTAAGCCTAAGCTCTGGTCGCCAGGTAATCTCCGGACATACCTCTTACAAGGGAAGTGCACGACCGGCCCACGAGAAATCGACACGAGACATAGTGGATCTGATAGAATCGGACAAGGGGATTCCGAATCTGTAATCAGAATTTGCTAAATAAAACGGAGAAAGAAGTTATGAAGCTTCAAAGTTGCCGAATCGCCAAAAACCGTAACTTTAAGGGCCCGTAAAAACCCGGGGAACGGAATTGAGCAGAAAAGAGTTAGTGCATCTTGTGCAGCATAAAAAAAACGCTTTTGAATGCGCTATAATACGTACCATTTGCAAATAATTCACCGAAAAAAGTTTTTTGGATTCACGGGCAATGGCATGGCCTGTCAAGTTCATAGAAGAGATTTCCGTGAATCATCGTAACCTTGAGGTAAGATAGCTCCTTCGAAAGCGCTTTTTTCGCTGAACAAGATGCACTAATAGGTTGTGGTAAATTTCTATTCCCCGGGCCTTTACAGGCCCATAAAAAAATTTCTTTGCAATGGATGTCACGCTATCATATCATCGCTGGAAACCGTCTACTTGACGAAGCCGTATCGAAAATTCGTGGCTTCGCTATTTGGAGTAACAAAGTAAGTTAAAATCATCAAATCCGTAAGCTCATTCACAGAACACGACAAGGCGGCAATGTCTTTTTCGTCGGCCCGTCATCGGTATCTATCAATCGTTGAAAAAATGGTTGGATCAAAACGCGTGGTTTCAGGACCACGTCAGCTTGGAAATAAAAATTGCAGTCCGAAGCTTCAACAACCGAGGGACGGGAACCGCCGATTTGGAATTAGCGTTTTTAAACATTTTTAATATTTTTGGCAACGTATAGTTGTGTATTTCTGTTTTTATGTGCCGTAACATCTTCAGCTTCCCAAGGCAGTAAGGCGCTTGATGACAGGGTTGGGTTGGGTTTCGAAACGTTTTTGATTATACGAATAAACATAATAGCGTCGTTGTCATAAACAACACTGACAACGGCTTCAAAGAATATTTTGTTAACGAGCTGTCGGTCTTCTCGGACACCTTGGCGGTCACCAACGGTTCCAATGTCGTAGCCGTCCGATCGGTGAAATTCACCCGTAAATAGTAGCCATAGCGCGACGTTGCGGGTATATCAAATGGAGCATAGAGCACCTTAAGGGTTTTAGTTATTGGTAATAAGAGACTACCGTGACGATTTTTACTTCTGTTGCATTCACACTTCCGGTCGGCTCAGAGGAATTGAAGGAACTGAAACCTTGAAGTCTCGCGGAAACCGAGGGAAGTTAGGGTCTCCATTTCCATAAATTTGGACTTTCAAAGTCTCAAATTTTCGATAAACTGAAGCAACACCTACCGCCTCTCTGCCGTGCCGTCGGTGAACACCAAGTCAACGTGCACCATCGTGTAGAGCACGTCGTAAATCTCGACATGCACGTCGACTGTGTCGCCTGAATCTTTGCTCTTTTCAGTGACTATTAAAGGGGCTCCGAATTGCCAAATCAAAGCCCTATTGGGAGGCCTCCTTGATTTTAGTAAATTGTCAGCGGGCGCTGCGGGACGAGCCCTCACTCTTTCGATTTTTGCGCAAAACTGTTTTTGCCGGGTTTCTTTGCGAAAGAAACTATAATTCGCGCATTCTGAGTCCATTTTTGAAATCCCCACTTAAAGGGCACGTTCAGGGACGTTTTTTGGAAGAAACAAAGTTTTTTGCCGCGGCCGGGGGTCGAACCCGGGCCCTCCGCTCGGGAGACGCGGATGGATACCTGGGTCTGACCCCTGGGCGTAATGAGGCGTCCAACGTACAGGGCTCCGATTTCCGGGCCGTAATTCAATTTTTGGCATTTGGGAGCCCCTTTAACGACGTCCCTAGCCGTTTTGATCAATCCTTACATAACCAGGTGACGTTACGAGCCACCGGACTGAGAGTTACAAAGTCCGGCATGTTATATGACGGGGAAATGAGCAGGCGACTGCCGGTGCATTCTGTTGACGTGACCACCGTCACTGATGCGACTTCTGAAATTGCCATCCCATGTACGCAACACCAATTCATTCTTACCTTGCCGACTCATAGTAATCGTTGGCATGCACCCGGCGGGAATCTCGAGGGTGAAAGTGCCGGTAAACAGCCATGTTGGATAGAAATCCTCGGAATTTCTGAACGACAACAATTACCATCTTTTCTCCAACATAGAGGGTATCCCAAAAAAAAACCGCTCTACGTGGCGGTCCGAAGTCGAGTCCGATTTTTACGATTTAGCTACCTATCGAAAGCTCTCGGAAAAGGCGAGAAAACAAACGGGTTTTGCTTTCTAAGATTTCATCTAATTCCAGCGATATTTAAGGTTTTTCTAAAAAACCGGTCATTTCTCAGCAGGACGGTCGCAACTAGGGTACACATAGGATAACGGGGGGGGGGGAAAAATAACGGGGGGCACTCAAACTTTTTATATGATAAAAGTATTTTTAAATAAGCTTTTTTCGGGCTGTAAAAAAAACTCTTAGTATATTTTTCGGTCCTCTATCGAATGGCATTTTCAAAATTTCGAAAATATTCAAAACGCCGAAAATTTTTTCCCCCCCTGTTATCCTATGTGCTGCCCATAATTTTCAAAAATAGTTTTTAGGCTATAAAACTTTTATAATACATTTTTTCGCCTTGTAAAAAAATCTCTTAGTATATTTTTTGATGTTCTATCGATTCGCGTTTTCAAAATATCGAAAATCTCAAAAATTTGGCTTTCCCCCCGTTATCCTATGTGCTGCCCATGGATTTTGACCAATTTTTGTTTATTCGATAAAAAATTTCATTTACATTATTTCGGGCTGAAATTAATTTTCCTAAGGCAGTTTTCGACGCTTTACCGAATGACGTTTTCAAAATACCGAAAATTTCGAAAATTTCGAAAATTTGACTTTCCCCCCGTTATCCTATGTGCTGCCCATAGATTTTCCTCAATTTTTGTTTATTCAATAAAAAAATTCTATTACATTATTTCGGGCTGAAATTAATTCTCTTAGTATATTTTTCGACGCTCTATCGAATGGCACTCGCAAAATCCTACAGTAATTGCAAATTTCATAATAATGAGTGCCCCCCGTTATTTTATTCCCCCCCCGTTATCCTATGTGTACCGCAACTAGCGTGCAGAGCTTGCATAAATCAGCAGTTTCCATGGTTTTTGGACGTAGAATTAGCGAATAAAAAGACATAATAAAAAAAATCAAGCCTCCTTGTTTTCTCGCCCTTCCGAGAGCTTCCGCTTTTCCGCTCAGATGCGTTTTGGCTTGCCTCGGGCTCAAAAAAACAATTAGCTGACGAAACCTACCGGAACTTGCTGAGTGGCCGCGACGAGTGTTGTTCTCCCGTCACCATACCAGTGTACAATTTATACTCACAATCGATCGCGCTGTGTGGCTAAACGAATTTCCACATCACCGATAGACACACATACCCATAACATCGATTTCAACACAGCCACGTGCTGTTCGATTTCATCGGCTCGATAGATCAAATAGTCCGCTAGGCTAATCGCAACAAAAACGGTTTTATTTGAATCCGGAGCTAAAAAAATATTATTTTGAAAACCTTATGAAATCTTTACTTTTTATCGAAAGATCTTCATCAGTTTGTGGATTATATGGGAAGTTGAGCGTCAGGGCGGAATCTGGAAGGGTGTACAATGATTTCAAGGGACGTGCCAGAGAAACTTTAAACTCGAAGCCTTCATGGGTATATACCATCTTTGGCCAGCTCAACGGAGAATATCACGGACGGTTCCGGAGGGAAGTAGGTGAAATTGAACATGTCAAATGGTATTGAAGTCCCATTAGACACGGAGTAAGTCCTTGTACAACAGTTTAGGATCTTTGTAGTCAAGTCCGCTCTGAAAGCAGTGTTCACAATAAATCGTTTCCGCAAGGGAGCTGTTATTATCTCGAAAATCAGCGTCTCGAAAGTTTATTGGTTGGACATTTGTCAAGAATCTAACAAGGAGACGTTTTTAGTGTCGTCGAGGTAAGTGTTCTCGCCTAGGCTGAAAATTAAATTCGGAACCACGCCTGTTGGAGCATTTTTCGCTGAGTCCAAAGCTGTTTTCGAAATTCGGAATCAGCGCCAAAATCTGCACAAGGTTCGCTTGATCTCAATTTTAGCCTCGGCTACACTAAAACGTCTGCTTGTAAGCCGACAATTTTGCCAAAGCTGGATGCCGTTTGATGCCTTGGCAATGTCAAGATAAGGAACTTTCGAGACAATGAGTTTTAAGATGTTGATTTCGCCATCACGATAAGCAATCTTTCCAAACCGCGAAAAGCAATCCACAAATCCTTCGGCCTGTTGTGATCGCGTGGTCCCATCGTCCAGACTGCAGATTGTAATAGTGGCGTCAGCCTCGGCAGCCAACTCGCCGAACGCGGCCACAAAGCGTGTCCTGACGACAGAATTTCGACAAAACGAATCGGTCTACCAGCTATACAGGATGCTGACCACATTGAACATATAATTGGGGTAATGCGAATTCACGTCGATCACTGTTTCACTCAGGCTAGACGAGGAAGGCTCGCTGCGGAGCCGAAAACCACTATGGCCCTGCCTTTCAGGATCAACAGGGTCGCTAAAAAAATTGATCTGCGGAGGTCGGAAAGCAAAAGACTGTCGAACCTCAGCTACATGTCTGCCGTATGGAAACTGCGAGCCGGAGTCGACGCTAGTGTATCTTTAAGCGACGTCATAGCTCGAAAAAGGGGATTACGTGTTGGTGATATTGTTGCCCTTCTCGTCCAGTGATCGTATCACCAATGTCCCGCCTTGTAACGAAGCGAGGGATATCAGCTTGACCAGATGGCCGTTGTCTAGAGATTCGCATTACAGGGCGTCCGAATAAAAAAGACACCTCCTCTAACTCGAAGCAGAAGTATCGGATGGAACAATAGTTACCCCATTAGAAAGCCCGTGAAACGGCCAATTTGCAACAATGTTCAAACATGTTTTTAATGCGCGATTTTATACGCCATTTTGTAAATGTAAGTTTGCTGTTTTATCGAGGTTGCATATGAGCCAATTGGCCTAAATTTCTCCAATCAAAATGACCGGAAAGAACCGTTAGTTAGATGTCGAGAACGATCCTTAATGTCCTTAAATTCGTTCGAAATGGCTCTGCCAATTAAAACAGGATTATGAAAATTATTGCAAGCCGTTTTAAGGTCTTTTTGATCGCGCTAGCCTCATTGCGATCCGATACTTTTTCGTCGAGTTAAAGATTACCAGAACGATGGAACGCACACTGTCACCCCGAGGGAGCTGCCCCCAAGAACGCGCAGAGAGGGTCGTCATTAGTGGTGTCCCGTATTGGGCACGTACCCTCTGGGGTTTGGGGCGCCTCTGACTCCCTTCCCCACTTGGCCCTGTGGTATAGTGGCTAGCGCGTCGGACTGTGGAGCGAACCATCGCGGGTTCGACCCCGCCCGGTGCGCAATTTCTTGCCCTAAACGATATTTCATCGTTCTGTCGGATACTTGGGACGCCTTGTACAGTACTCACATCCAATCGAAAAAGTAGTAACCGGAAACAGGTCTTGGTCCTCTTCGAAGATCCACGGGTATTTCCAGCTGTTGAGGTAACCAAGAAAATTTGGCAGCACTATATAGTTATCTCCTAAAGCAGACAAATCAATGTTGGGGGTACTGTATACCGATCTCGACTTGGGCATAGGCCGGCTGGATTCCTAAAAGACCCATCGAATTACGATTGACAACGGTGGTGGCCGAGGAGAAGCTGTCGATGCGGGCCTTATCAACACTAGCACTAAATAAAACATCATCTTTTGTACAAGCGGGTTCAAATTTTCCGCGGCGAAACCCCTCTATAAAAAAACGAATTTATCAGACAAAAGATGGCAAAAGCTGAAATGTGATTACGTTTGCTGATTGCACAGCGACTTGAACCGATTTTAACGCCCACTGTTTAGGGAAAATTTAAGGGACTGCCCTTTTCTACCCGTGCAGTCATTTCTTCAAAAGCGTATTTTTGATAAGCTAAATTTTGAAAATAACCTTTTCGTAAGTCACGTTTCCATAAGTTGTGCCCAGCTGCTAATGGCCGCAATGCAAATTCTTCCGGAAATCAGACTTTTTTTGCACTTGACGTATGACTCGACTCGACTACTTTTGTACAACTGACTTTTCGCCAATTTAACCTGAATAGTGAGAAATATAATTTTTTGATCACTTCCCTTCGGTATTAGCGCTTACTCCATTGTTGCCAAAAAAATTAATCTGGCTCCTCCCGGGATCACCGCCATGGTAGACGTCAACATTTGTGGCGCCGTTAATTTCCCCGAAATTGTACAAGCGGAGGGTGGTCTGCGGTAGGTTCGTCTTGTAATAATCCCTATATACCAAGAAATTCGTGATACAGTTTTTCAAACATTGAAAATGGCGGGATCATCGTGAGGATGCGCTTCGGCTGGAACCATACACTCGGCCCGTTGCACCGATCATCCCCATCCGATAGTGGTAGCAGTCGGTAGACGTAGTCAGCTTAAATCAGCATAAATTTGTGCAAAGAAAAAAGAGTTGGGGTGAAAAGTAGTCCGACTCTCTTACAAACCTTCGATCCACTCGAGAACTCTAACCGAAACCCCGAAATAAATTTTCGGCGTTTCTGGTATCGGCTTGTAAGCAATCTCAACCGAATCGCCAACTATTGACCAAGAACATTGCGTTTGAATTTGCGTAAATAGGGAGCAAATAGGCCTGTAAGGTATTATTGACGTTGGAATCTCACAAATTCTTACCAAGCCATTGTGCACCCGGCTTGGGTAGGCACTCGTCCGTTGATTGTGATCGGGATTTGATCGTAACATCTGATTGTCGTATTCTGAAGGGCAAAGTGCGTTATTTCGGCTGTTTCAGGTTGTTTCCATTTTTCCCAAATTTGCGAATTCGTTTATTTTCTCAAACCAAAGTAATTATTTTCGATTTGCGGCAGATTTCTCAGATTGAATATCGCCATCGAATTCAAAAAATTTCTTTATGAAATAAGTTCCATAGCTCAAAATTGATAAAAATCGAAAGTCGAAAGTATGGACTGCGTTTTTTAGGGCAAAATGGACCAAAACAGCCTCATTTCACACTCCTGGGCCGTCTATTGCCAGAAAGCATGCATAAAATATACCATTCAATACAAAAAATTTTTCTACAAGATAGATTACTAAGAATCATTTGCAATTATAAAACAAAAAAAGGCGGGCTTCGAGAGAGCTGCTTCCCGCGCGCGCAAACATAGTTTTAAAAGAGCTGTAACTATTTAAATCCAACTGTTTGACAAAAATTGAACGCAGGGTCGGAACCAGCAAAAAATTTTGGCACGAAATGGAATGAGTTCCAGTTGCAAGTTTAACCTTAAGTGGATCCCTTGTGATGGGTCCACACTTTAGCCTCGGGCCGTTCGGCTGAAAAACCAACGCTATAGCCGCCATTGGGATCATCGCAATTTGTTTTCGAATAATCGATGAGCAGTGTGCAACCCGGGCAACCGTAAACTTCAATACTCTAAGGCATATTTCCGCAAAGAGCCATCGTCAAAACCTTCTTCCACTCCAAAACCATTCCATGCAATGCATAGCTCGGGTTATCTTCGGTAAGCTGAAAGACCTTTCGATCCAAAAAAGCGTGCGTTGATTCCATTATTGCGATGTCAAAAAGTAGTAGTAGCTCTATGTTCATGTCGGCATCAAAAGCGATCTCGTGCCAGCTTCCGGTATGCCAACAGAAGAGCACGGACTGACCACTCGGTAAGCCTGGCGTTATCGATAAGGGCTCGGGCATCTTATGCTCCCCATGGCATAAGCCGTCTGGACGCTTGGAAAAACCGGGAGAATTTCGACAGCGTACAAGGGATTGTGCGTGCCGGGCCATCTTTTTCGCTGTAAAACACTAACAAAAACTAACAACTAAAACAAAAAAAACACTAAAATAAGGTATAAATCGTCATTTTCCTAAAAATCTGATAAGCGCGATTTCGAGCCTTTTATGCAAAGTGTCTACACACACAAACACTATTTTTATATATAGAAGGATAACAGCGGTTTACAAAAAGTATTTGTTAACCTAATGACAAACGCTGATATCCTTATGCTATTGTGGGTGGAAAATCTCGCTTTGCAGGTATTTTTTACTTTAAGGGCCCTAGAATCCTCGACGGACTCGTGTTTTTGCCAGTTTGTTGCATTGTTTTCTGGCCCCATTTTCGGACCCCACTAGGGAACGGGGGGCCCCGCCTCCGCTAGACTCTTTTAGACAGAATTGCAAGAGCTCTGGGCGCCCCCACATACCCGGAGGGCCCATTTCCACTCGCGCCTTGCCTGAAAACGATTCCATCTTGGCCCCCCTTGGGCTTCGTCTTTTTGGGGGCCCAGCACCTGCTTGGCTGATTGAATTCGGTGGGCACAACCTCGACCCACAACCGGATTTTGTTTTTCTGATAATGGTAGGTTAAATTTTAGTTGTTAATAAAAAAACCTAAAGAGCAGAGCCGGCGTGAATTTGGCAAAACAGGTAAATTTAGAAAAAAATTAGTTAGCTTTGAAAACACTAACGTGCTAGGAAATTATTGAAATAGGTCCGTCTTTTTAATCAATTAACTATTTTTTCACTTTTGTTTTGAACCTCATCCGAAAACTTTGAACCTCAAATCTCAAAAATTCATTTTAATAATAAAAATTTGAAAAATTCGACTTTTTACCATTCGAGGCCGATTTTTTTAATGCGTTTGGCTGCATATTTTAATTTGGCAACTTTCCCAAAGCCCATCACTTCCGGCCTGCTCCTGACTCCGCTAAGCGCCTCGAGACGCACTCCAAAATGCATGTGAGAACCCTTTTCCCCATTGCCGATACTTGACAGCATGACAGACCTACCCTCCCAAAAATCATTATTTGGCCCTTCATGTTGGCGGCTCGAAAAGGCTTTTCCATCGCACTGGGCCCCGCAAAAAACACACAAATCTCCTTGGAAACCATTGTGGGCACGTGCGGCCCCGGCTTTTTGGGCAGCTATTTGGAAAAACGGAAATGCACGACGCATAAGCAAAAATGGAACGAGGAATATTCGCGGAACCGGAGAACGCGAGTTATAAGAATTTCATTTAGAGCCACCTCGTTCCGGGGCCACCACGAGCTCGGGGCCCGGCTCCAACGGTGTTCTGCTACATTTGCGGACGGCAATTCGGCTCGAAAAGTATTGGCATACATGAGGTAGCTTCAAAGTTATAACTTTCCCTAACGGGAATCCAAAATTGGCTTCCTACCTTTTCACTGAAGTTCAAAGGAATAAGCCTTTATTTTACGATCCCCAAATGTCTGAAATTTGCCCTAAATTGTCACAGAAATGCTTCGTAGCAACTTTTAAAAACCTTGATAGTAGTTGACACCATTAGTCCTATTTTTTTCAGCCCCAATGCATGCAAAAATGGCACGCCGAAAATGACAAGCTCCCCAAATCCAAGCGTCGCCCGCCACCCGTGAAACCGGAAGCAGTTATCGTAGGTAAACGTTTTGGGTGTATTTTATGCCTTGATGTTATGTTGGTCCAAAAGGGGTGCTAGAAGCCTAACCTAGCTCTTTCAATTCTTATGCTAATTTTTAGGCGGTTCCGTCGATGTGGCGGCAACGAATGAGGCGAATTGGCAAGCGGCGCAAGGGTCGATGGTCGAGTGCGAGCATTGTGGAAGGAGATTTAAGGTAGGAATTGATGAATTATGCTCCTCAAGATCTACCTAGTACCTTCATACTATTTTTAGAACAATTATTTTTAGCCAAGACGTTTAGCCTTCTGAAAAATGTCTGGTCTCACTCGCTCGCTCTTACTCCTGCTTGCTCTCTCTATCTCTCTCGCTGTCTCTCTCTCTTTCTTTCTCTCGCTCTCTCTCTCTCTCTATTTCTCTCTCTCATCTACATGACTACATCTACATACATGCCTTTAATATGATCGCCAAAGTATAGTTCCATTTTTTAGCAAGACCGCCTCGAAGTACACCAGCGCAGTTGCACCGCCCAGAACCCAGCAAAACGAGCTCCCAGTAAAAGTGTCGATCGAAAGACGGCCCTTAAAACTTGACAATATCTTTCCCCATCCGCTTGGTGTAATAAAGTGTCCCCCGGAGTGGTGCGTAAAATTTATTCGCCTAGCTACTCCCGGGCATCGGCATAAACATCGGCCGGCTCGACGACGCCGGCCACCTCGGCGTTTATGTCGAGTGGGGAGCCGGCGGTGTGTTGGTGTTGCATTGGGGATTCGAGCATCTCGGAGATTATGCGTTTCTGGAAAAAAATGCCGTTTTGATTGTGGAAAAACGACTTTAGAATCGATTAAAAATTACGGTGGAAAACCCTGAAACACTTTAACTCTTTCGCCAGGACTTTGTCTCTCTGCCAGTTTCTCGCTCTCACTCGCTCTCGCTCTCATCTCTCACCTGTTTCAAAAAATCAAACACAGCCCTTTCGTGCACCAAAAAGTGCACAAATTTTCGATCGTTACAGCGTAACGACCGAAAAACAGGCGCCGACACGAAGAAGCAGTGAACTCTAAAATCATTTTCGCGGGGATTCTAGGTGTCCGATACCTTCCGCAAAGTTCCGGTGCCGCGTTCGCAAGTGCTGCGTCGAAACGAGCAAGTCCTGAAGAGAAAATCACAGTAAGACATTGTTAGCGTCTTACCTTTATCGACGTATCTTTGCTTCAGAATATCGCACACCGGAATTTCATCGGCCCTTGACTTTGTCGTTAGTTTTTTGTCGGTTTTTGAAGATAGAAAAACGACGGTAGCGTTGCGACGGTGCGCTATCTGAATTTAAGTTGCCTCAAAGGATCCGTATTCGTGCGACCGACTTTGGCAAAACTGAGATCTTCATCGCTCGGCGTGCCATCGGTCAAGATGAAAATTGCCGTGAAGCTAGAGAGGTTGTGGAAACTAAAACAACCTCAAAATTGAAAAAAACTCTACTCGATGAATTCGAAGTATCCATTAATTTTCTTGGGGTAGTGCAGCTCCCACAGCGTCACTCCGTATTTCAGAAGGTCATCGGAAAATTCGTATTTTTCACAGGCTCCGGGCTTTGTCTTCTCCTGAAAACCATGGGTAATGAAGGGAGAACTGCAGCAAGAGAGAGCGAGAGACACAGAGAGAGAGGGCGAGAGAGAGAGGGGGGGCAACGAGCAGCTACCCACCCTTCCAGCCGCAAACGGATGTTTGCTGCTTAATCCCCGCATCGCGTTTATCATGGCCGATTTTCCGACCCGATACCCACCAATGAAGCCGTAGTTGAACACGGTCTATTAGTGCTCTATATAGGTCTAAAACTACTCTACCCGATTGGAAGTTGTAACAGTAGGTTTTGGCGCATAATTCCCGACTGGCCGATCGTCCGTCGCGAACAGGATTTCAAAGTCAGAATCTGCCAGTACAGTGTCTTGTTTGAGGAGTTGTGGCAGGGTCCGGGGCTTTTGAAGTTGTGGAAGGTTCTAGATGGTTATGATCGGGAACCGTCTCCGCATTGAAGGTACCTTCATGATTACTGTATCGCCATCCAAATTGTCTCTTGATCCCTTTGAGTCCTTGGACCTTGAATACGTGCTTTGATTGTCGCGCTAAAGCCGTATAATTGGGTAAGATCCGAAGCTAAGCCTGAGCTAAGCCTAAGCTAAGCCAAGCCTAAGCTAAGCTTAAGCTAAGCCTAAACCTAGCCTGGGCTAAGCCTGGTAGGCTCAAGCCAAGCTAAACTAGATATACCTCCATTTTCTCTCTTCGATTCCTATTTTCCAGTGCTAAATGACAGTTCGGGGCCAGCCCGATAATCTTCAGCAGCTCGTCTTCATCCAATTTATAATGAAGATAGCTCAAAATGGGTGCATTTGCAAACTCAAATTTTACACATACCCGATCGTGTTCGACAACAGATTCCTAACCACCGGCGCACTAATGAAAAGTAGTGGGACTCCCAATAACATCGAAGCTTTCTGACTCAAATTTTGATGGAAGACTCTTTTTGCTGAAGGTTAAATGATAACGGAAAATTTAATGCAAACACCTTTTTCCAAGTACCACTTGGTCAGGGCAGGCCCTACGTTTTGGCGATTTTCTCTGGATTCGGCATCCAAATCATCATTACTTTTTGTTGATAATATTGTCATTGGGGTTCTGAAAAACTAGTTAATTCTCCAATTAAGGTACCTCCTAGAATATAAAACCCTAGAAAATGCGATATCATCGTCATGGAGGGCTCCATCAGGGATTAGGACAAAAAGATGTTTGAATACTTGGAGTTGATGAGTGCTAAAATTTGAAGTTAAGCTTTTATCATGAGATGAAGGTATCCTTTCTACCTTACATCTAGTATTAACAATAATTTTAGCGCGGCCAACTTACTCATAAAATCGATCAAATCCCATATTCTGGTCGTAGACATCCACCACAGCTGTAAAACTCCTGGGATACGGTATTTCCCAAATGACAATGTGTTGCAGCTCCTCTTCAACAAATCTAAGCCATCAATGAAAGGGTTAAATTCCTTGACACTACCTGAACGGCTCCATCTTGTCGCACACATATCTGCCGGCGCTATTTGGCGCCCCATTGTCAATTCCACGTAGAGCATTGATCAGGTGAGACTTTCCGGACCCCAATCGCCCACAAAATCCAATATTTGCCCGGTTCTAAAGGCCTTAAAAATCACATAATTTTTCTTACCGGCTCGATGGGAAATCCGCCAGTCTGCGCCGGTTTGCCGCCGGAAAAGCCGAAATCCTGGACCGGGTTGTAGATTGGGTAGCTGTCGTGGGAGTACTGGAAAAATTATAGATTCAACATTTTTTAGGCGGATACCTTGGTTGACACCGACTGCATCGAGCCTTGCGACGACTTTCGGGTATTTTTGTAGATTGGTTCATCTTTCAGTTTTTCTTTAGTAGTGGTAAAATGGGCAGTAGGAAGCGCTGTTTTTGGTATTCTTAACATGGTTATGGCCTCAAAAAATGTGCTGTATACTCACTGTGGTCTAGAGTAAACGACTGGCTTCTGCTTGATCGTCGGCACATTTTGTCGGGGAGTTACTGCTGGCGGAAATGGACCCTGAAGCCTAAAAATGTACATTACAATGATGCAGCTAATTTTCCAATAGTTTAATTTTGACAAAATTGATGCATTGCGGGTCGATTCTAGCTTAAAAATATAGCACAATTTCATTGATTTTGTCATCCAAACCCTTTCTTTTTACCGGGTTGATACCCTACTGCGAAATTCGCGCCGTTACGTTTCAACACCTTCAGGACTCGCCTTTCCAAAATTTCCCTAACCGTCGCCTGGGCTTCACCAATTTCCGGCGGCGGATGCGGAGGCGGAGGTGGAGGATGATCGGGTGGAGGCGTACCTGACATGGAAAGGGCTCTTCAAATATCTGCCCTGTTTTTACAGCCCATCTCCAACCAATTCGATCCCCCCGATAATCCCCTTCGCCTACCCGCCATTATCCGCGTTTCGTGTTGCTCATCGTGGGTATGATTCAGGGTGCCGTTGCGATTGTTGCGCTGCGGGACCGGGCTGCGCGTCGGGCTGCGCGTCGGGCTGCTAGGTGGTGCACGCGGGGATGGGGCGGCAAGAAAGGCGCGTTGTTCTAAAATAGGCTAGCATAAATTGTAATGTTTTTCGCCTACTGCCTGTAATTGCTGTATTATATACAGCCGAAAAAGCTATTAGTAGCCCAATCTCGACTTGGATTCGCCTTTCCTAGCTCAATTTTTCCGTAAAATGTGTTTTTGTTTTCCCGGAATTAATTTTTTTTTGCCTGCGCTTCCATAGATTCATTAGACTTGTGAAACACAACTAGTTGGAATAGATGTCTGATTAGCCTGAGATTTTTAAGGAGAACTATTCTAGAAGGCAGTAAAAGTTTCCAGACTTACCATCGATCGGTGTCGGCTGTGTAACTACAATATACGGAACCGGTCCTGGTCCATTTTTGGCACCAACCGACTCCCCATCGACACTAAACGCGACGTGATTCGACGCCTTCTCGCCACGAGAAGATTTGTTGCCCATGCACGGTCGCACTGAAGGTTTCGACTGAGGTAAAGTTGTTCAAAAAATGTTTTTAAAATTCGAAAATGCAATAAAATCATTAAAGCAACAAAATCAATCAAAAAAGGGCAACAGAAGCCGAGTCATCTGCCCGCTATCGAAAAATTGGAAAAGTCGACAAGCTGCCCGCCAGCAAACCAACCGGTCACAATTCGCGTCGGGCGGCTTAGCGAAACACTGCGCCGTGCATATTCATGAGTGGATGAGACTGAAATTTGGCTCGTGCCTCATTTTTGTGAATTCGTGTATCATCGCTGGTCATAAAAGATTCCAATATGGACCGGGACCATTAATAAAACCAAAAACTTACATGATGTAGTCCGTATCCTCCTTGGCAACGTGCCAAAGACCGTCTCAATCCGGGTTTGGCTTGCATAAAACCCAGGACCGACATTTTTAGAGAAATATGGCTAGGTTGTGCATTCATTATGTGATCGGCTACACAACCAACCGACAAAGCTGTCGATAATCCACCTGTTGAGCGGCTCTAGCATCCGGTCCCCGGCGCTTGTTTTTACGCATTGTGCCTTTTTCACACTAAAATACCATTGCGCACGCCGGAACTTATATTAAAGTTGTAGTTGTGCAATAATCAGCATAATCTCGTTTATTCCTGAGCTATTAGTGATATCAACAATGCCGACCACAAAATGGAGAATTTAAATCGAATGACGGAAGCTGATTGAGGGGGATGCCTTTGTTTTTTAGTCGATGAAGCTTCAGTAGCAGTCCGAGGTCGGTCCGTAAAATTTACTCGTAACAAATAACCTCCAACGAAGGGGAGAGCCTCTCCGGTTTCACCATAAAATACCTAGGGCTGAGAATTTAACGTTTGTGATAAGAAAAGTACCGTGAGCATCGTGACTTCGGTTGCTTTAAATCGATCCGTCGGTTGCGAAAGGTTGTAGGAACTAAAATAATTGCTCCAAACATCATTTTTCTTAGAAATAACCGCATTTCAGTGCTGCCATCTAGATGATAACAGTAGATATCGAGCGATCCATATATCAAACTAATTAACTCGAGGCTGATGTCGACAGAATTACCTAAAATATATTCATTAAATCGCAAAAATTTTGGAGAAACATTGAAAAGGCCCAATAACACTTTTGATGAAGGGGGCAAAAGAGCAAAAATGCGTTAAAATCCTAGGTCGACTCACATATCCATGTAATGTTTTCCGCCACTCCGCTGTAGGCATTAATTGGCATCATATTAAAATTTGGTGAAACGATCAATCGACTACCGATGCAGTCGGTGGATATTATATTCTCGACGGATTCGACTTCTGAACAACATAACCCGGAAAACCCTCAAAATACAGGAAATGCGTTACCTTGGGTTCCCAAAGATATCGTAGGCATGCAACCGGCAGGGATCTCCAACGTATAAGTGCCGGCAAAAAGCCAAATAGGGTAGAAGAGGTCAGCATTTCTAAAATTGAGAGAGACCTCGGTAGGCGCGCTCAAAAAATTACCTAAATATCGTCAGCGGCCGGGAAGTGTTTTCTGCAGTTACCATCCCGGTGTGCAATCGGTATTCGCAATTGAACAAACTGTGTGGCTAAAAACGTCTCGGTTAATTAATCGAAAAGCCAAAATAAAAAAAATTGATGGCCTACCCAAAAAACCGATGTCAACACCGCGATGCTCATCTCGATCTCGTCGGCCCGTTTGCGGAAGTGATGACTGGCCAGACAGACGACAAAGAAAACCGTTTTCTCCGAGTTCGGGACTGAATGCATTTCATCGCTTGGTACGTCTTTTGCTTACCCCTAACGGCCAAGGCGTCATCCGTGAAGGCGTCGAAGGGCACGCTGAGCACCAACGCTTTATCTATAAAATCTTGGCTTGAACCACAGTTAACGTCGTACAAAAAAAGACATAAAATTAATATAAAAAGTATTTAAAACATACTGTGCTTTGCCAGCTCGACCGAAAATATCACGGACGGTTGCGCCTTGTAGTACGTAAAGTTGTAGACGTCCACCAGGATTGAACTGCCATTCGACACTGGCTCGATTCTCGTGCAGCAGTTGAGCACTCGCGTCGTCAAGTCGACGCTGTTGTAAGTAAGTTTCGGGGTCATCATGGAGCATACCTGGATATACAATTGACAAAGCCAGCCATGTGCTGTGTGGGTGTGCTATCGTCATCCAGGCTGCATACCGTTAGTGCCACGTTCGCCTGCACGTCAATCTTGGGAAACACGGCAAGAAAACGTGTTCTACACGTTCTAGATGTCAGGCCGTGTTTCCTGCTACACTCACTGTGTGCTTAAAAGATCGACGATGTTGAACATGTAGTTCGGAGCGACGGTGGTAATGTCCATTGCAAACGTGTCGCTTGTATAAGCTGACTGCGGATCGAGCGCTATTTTGAATCCTCCAGTCCCGTTGTATCCAGTTTGTCGCGAAAATTTGATCTTGGTTGGCTTGGCATCAAGACCTATTAGATCAAACCTCAGCAATCTCCCTGCCAAGGGGAAACTGTGATCCAGAGTCGGCAGACGTGTATCTTTAGGAGTATTACTTTTATTTGGGTGATTCTTTACGTGGTTGTGATGTTTTTGCCATTGTCATCCGACGATCTGATCTTTAATGTACCACCTTCTAGCGAAATTATGGAAACGAGTTTGGCAATGGTTCCACTATCTAGAAAGCCGCTCTTTGTTATGAGCTCAGCGATCGATCACAATGCCGAAATTTCATAAAGCCGACATTCCAGGATGATTTCATTTTCGTTTCATTTTCATTTTTTTTGCAGATTATTTGGCAGATTTTTGGAAAGTTGTTCTAACTGTCGACTTTATAAACTCTCGACATTCTCAAGTTTCGCCATCATGAAATTTCGGCATCGTGAAATTTCGCCATCCTGAAATTTCTACCCTATATTTCGACATAATGAAACTATAAAAGGATATTCATACGACAAAAAGTCTCACGGCCAAGCTTCATCGTGGTTTCAGGAAATAGGACCTGATCCTCTTCAAAAACCCATGGATACTTCCAGCTGTTGAGGTAAGTTTGCGTGTATTGCAGCGGCACAAAGGTATTCGACACTAAGGTGTATTCAAAACGTTTGTTAATTCCTTACCCAACTCTACTTGATCGTAACCGACCACAATCCCCAGCAGCCCACGGGAGTTCCGGTTGACGAGCGTCGTGGCCGAGGAGAAGCTGAAGAGCCCCATCTGCCGTACGTTCGCGCTAAATATCGCTACGCATGATCCTTTGACCATACTTAAAGGTGGAGATGGCATTTATCTGGCTATTTCCCGGATCTCCGCCATGATACGCTTCGAGAAATGAGGTCCCGTTGGTGGAGTCGAAATTCAAAAAGCTAAAACGGGTCCGCGGCAATGTTGTGTTGTAGTCGCCACTATTACTGGTGCTTAGAATGAACGTCATTGCGACAAATTATTACATTGAGATAATCGGCACGAAGGTGACGATGCGCATTGGCGAAAACCATATTTTTCCTTCGTCGCAATCGTCGCGGTCGGCCCACTCGGGTAGTAAATGATAGGTATAATTTGCTGAAGGCGCCAGTCTTATGCAAAGTTTACTGAAACTGACGATCTATCCATTCGAGCACTCTCACAGATACTCCAAATATATTTGACGATATGATGGTGCGAACATTGTAGGAAACTTCCACCGAATCAGCAAGTAGCGACCAAGAGCATTGCGTTTGAATGCGGTCGAACCCGGTGCAGGTCGGCCTGAAAATGCGCATTTCTGGAAGTCTAAACGTTTAACCAAGCCATCGTGCATCCGTCTTGGCGAGGCACTCGCCCGTCAATCGAAATCGGTATAGAATCGTAGCATTTTATGGCAGGGTTCTGAAAGGCAGATTTATAGAAGGTGCCCGAAAAAAATCACGCCCCCCTCTCTAGCCGGTCGCAGATGTGGCCGGTTTTTACGATTTATGTATTTAGATTTTCTGATGTTTTTCAGACCAAGGACTTTCTTACAACAATCATAATTGAAGGATTTTAACGAATTTTTGAAAACCGTTTCCGAAAACAGCTGAATACAGGGTGTCGCAAAAAAAGGCACCCCCTCTAGCGGCGCGCAGTCGTGTCCGATTTCCACCGTTTAGGTATCTATCGAAAGCTCTTGAAAAGGCGAGAAAACAAGGAGGTTCATTTTCTTTATTATTTTTTTATTCGCGAATTTTAGCTCCAAAAACGAAGAAAACGGCAGATTTACGCGAGATCTGCCTTTACAAAAACGTTGAATATCGGACGAATAAGAATAAATCTTAGAAAATGAAGCCCGCTTGTTTTCTCGCCTTTTCGTGGGCTTTCGAATGGTATAAAAATCATCCTGATCTGAGTTTCCCCCGGACCGCTAGCGGGGGGTGCTTTTTTTTGGGACACCCAGTAGAGCTTTACGCGGTTAAATTGTGTTTTTGACAAAGAAGCGCATCCTTTTTGCATGGAGAATGCCGAAAATCGAATAAGCCTTTCAAAACTCGGAGCCTGGTGCTGGACTCGCCTTGCCGAGAGCTTTGGATAGATACCATACCGAATTGAATCGTAAAATCAAAATTTCCCAAAAACGATTTTTTGCCTAACTATGTGTCCTACGTCATTATTTCCATTTGGATCCAGGCATTTCGACTTCGAAAAGTCAACAATCAGCGTGCAACCCGGACAGCCGAGCACCGTTATGGTCTAAAAACTCGTGACTCGAGAAAATTTGTGCCAAAACCTGCTTCCACTGCAAAACCGTGCCATGCAAAACGTAGCTGGGGTTGTCTTCGGTCAATTGAAAAACCGTTTGGTCCAAAACACCAAGCGTTAACTTCGATAAAGACTGGACCGCGGCAAGAATAACCGGAAAGCGCATGAAACGGATGGCGTCAAAAGTTGCCCGTTTTTATGGCTGTGAAACAGATTGTGTCCTATGTAAGTCACCCCTTGCTCCAATTCCTAGAAGATTATTCCGAAACATGACATAAGACCGCGTCTAGACGGGAAGCCGCCGTACAGGTGTACATGATAAGAATGTTTCACCGTGTTGTTGATCACGTACCAACCTGATTTGCCTTTAGCCTAGAAAAAGCCTTGCCATTTCAGCACTTTTACACGTAAACAGCTTAAAACTTCAACAGTAACTCATTAACGCGCAAGAAAATGATTGTTAGTAATAACGGCGACGATAGCCTCCAGCGCTTTTTCAAATGGTTTAAAAATGTTTTAGAAAACAGGTTCAGCTATGAATTAAATTATAATTAATATCCGCCTTCCGCAACCTTCTCCATATCAATCAATCAATGTGTGCACGTTGATCCCGGCACTTTATGTACGGTTTTGGCGCCAAACGCTCCGCTTGGCACCGTGCCAAACGCGTCGTACTGCATTTACTATGAAAGGGCATCATTGCAAAAATTCGTATTGAGGGATATTTTAGATATTCTCGCATTGACACTAGGTATTTCTCCGTTTAAAAAAACCATTTTCGATAGGGGAATATATTAAGTTTGTGGCCCTAAAGAGGGCCGTTGGGTTGGGTGGTTGGTTGAGTAGAAGCTCGACACTTGGAAGTAGATGTCTTTTCAGAGATCTATTCCTTGTCTCCGGCAGTCTTCTTTGGCAGGAGAACAGCCTGGATGTTGGGCAGCACTCCTCCCTGGGCAATCGTCACACCCGACAACAGCTTGTTCAGCTCCTCATCGTTGCGGACAGCGAGTTGAAGATGACGGGGGTTGATGCGGGTCTTCTTGTTGTCACGGGCAGCATTGCCGGCCAATTCGAGAACCTCGGCAGCGAGGTACTCAAGAACGGCGGCCAAGTAGACCGGGGCTCCGGCTCCGACGCGTTGAGCATAGTTGCCCTTGCGGAGAAGACGGTGCAGACGACCAACGGGGAATTGGAGTCCGGCTCGCACCGAGCGAGACTTTTGCTTGCCACCAGTCTTGGCCTTGCCTCCCTTGCCACGTCCAGACATGTCGAGTTGAGTTGGGTAGAGTCGAGTTGACTATGAGGATTGAAGGGGATAGGGGGTCTTTTATACCTACTAGAGGGTGGAAGGGCGGAGTCTGGCGTAGCCCGGGGGAGTGTCTTCCTAGGTCACCAAATCCCGCCTCCTCACCTCTAGACTGCCATATAAGGCCCCAATCTAGCCAGTATCCCCATCTTGCATCAACTGCTCGAACTCGTCGAATATGCCGCCCAAGCCGTCCGCCAAGGGAGCCAAGAAGGCCGGAAAGTCCCAAAAGGCCGCCCGTACCGGAGATAAGAAGAGGAGGAAGTCCCGCAAGGAGTCTTACTCCGTCTACATCTACCGTGTCCTCAAGCAGGTCCATCCCGATACTGGTGTCTCCTCAAAGGCCATGTCCATCATGAACTCGTTCGTCAACGACGTCTTTGAGCGTATCGCCTCGGAGGCTTCTCGTCTGGCCCACTACAACAAGAGGTCGACGATCTCGTCTCGCGAAATCCAGACGGCCGTCCGCCTCATTCTCCCCGGAGAATTGGCCAAGCACGCCGTCTCTGAGGGCACCAAGGCCGTCACCAAGTACACTTCCTCCAAATAAATATTTGGATCAAGTGATACTGAAATGACAACTTGGCTGGCATTGCCAACAAAACCCACCCAACCCAACGGCCCTCTTTAGGGCCACAATCTAAATAAAATATGTCTAAACGTCTATGCAAAAAGATAGGCTTCAAAATTGAGTTAGCGTATCCAAATTAAGTTCCTACTTGTTGACGCAAAAATTTTAAAACGTATGTCCGAGCCAAGGCCCGTAGAATTTTTCGGACGAAACCGTCAGAAAGGACGTTTCGAATTGTAGTTGTAATCCAATTGCAATTAATTGACGAGTTTTCGCTAAATTTAGAAAAACCGCTAAAGCAAATGTCAAATCTGGGCAATTAACAGAACCAAAGGAAGCTCAGGTGAGATCTGCATAAAAAAATTGTTATGTAAATAAAAATGGGCCGGTTGCATTTTAGTTTTTCGTTTATTGATTTGAGTTGCTTTTTATGAAATTCATTAATGTCTGATCTCGTCTACCAAGACATCATCCGATGATTTTTTAGCTTAGCAATTCGGGAATCTAGATACATATTGATTGTTGTAGCCAACGGGCGGTATATCAGAAGTTCCTGTATCCGTAGATCTCATTTTTTGGAACGTACAACTTGTAGTTTCTTTATTCTCCGTTTATATCGATTTAGCTTCTGGGGGTGTAGGGCCGGGACCGGTGGGACGCCTCTGGCGGGGTGCCAACACCCGTTTTTGGCGCCAAGATCCCCCGGTGGCTGCCCGAGACTGGGTCAACCCTGAAAGGCAAACAATTTGGGGACCGGGAGGACGCTAGCTATCGGAGTAAAACGAATTGCTGTACTGATGCATGGATAGCGAAGCAAATAGCAAACCTCGTAATAGCTTTTCTAAAAATCGATAGATTGCGACTATGGAAATTTGTCATCTATCAGCACTTCCATGTCCAAAGCGGAGGTGAAAGCCGAAAAACGCTGAAAAATATGCAGTAATTTCGGAGTTGCATTCCAATTTTGAATTGAATGCAGAATTACAGCGTACGCCTTGTTAATAATAAATTATTCCAGGGTTTTAAGAACCGGAACTTTCGGGAAGAAAACTCACATTGGAGCTCTTGCTTGTCGAAACAACCACAAAGTACACAGCACCAGTTTTATCACTTTCACAAATTTTTCGTTAGCTCCCGTGCTTAACCACAAGAAAAGTTATAATTTTCAATTCGTGAATTGTGGCCCTAAAGAGGGCCGTTGGGTTGGGTGGTTGTTGTGAAGGATCAAGCTTCAGAACTTCTTAAGCACGCTCTCCGCGGATACGGCGAGCCAGCTGGATGTCCTTTGGCATGATGGTGACACGCTTGGCGTGGATGGCGCACAGGTTGGTGTCTTCGAAGAGACCGACAAGGTAAGCCTCTGAAGCCTCCTGAAGGGCCATAACAGCCGATGACTGGAAGCGGAGATCAGTCTTGAAGTCTTGGGCAATCTCGCGAACGAGACGCTGGAAGGGGAGCTTGCGGATGAGAAGCTCGGTCGACTTTTGGTAGCGACGGATCTCACGCAGAGCAACGGTTCCAGGGCGATAACGATGGGGCTTCTTGACACCTCCGGTGGCTGGGGCAGATTTGCGAGCAGCCTTCGTGGCAAGCTGCTTACGAGGAGCCTTTCCTCCGGTCGATTTGCGGGCGGTTTGCTTCGTGCGGGCCATTTCCTTCTTGTTCTCGGGATGAGATATCGAATGGTAGTTTCAGAGGGTTTATATACCAAGTGGGCGGGGCTTAAGGACCTGAAAGCGCGGGAAAGTAGTACCCTAGGCTACCGGGTGACTCCGCCTACTGTTGGAATCGCGGCAGGACCGCCCCTCCCCACCCTATATAAACCCCCACCCCCAACCATTCCCCATCTCATCGAATCAACACTTCGAAGAATGTCTGGACGCGGCAAAGGAGGCAAAGGACTCGGAAAGGGAGGTGCCAAGCGCCATCGCAAGGTTCTCCGTGACAACATCCAGGGAATCACCAAGCCGGCTATCCGCCGTCTTGCCCGTCGTGGTGGAGTGAAGCGTATCTCTGGCCTCATCTACGAGGAGACCCGTGGCGTCCTCAAGGTGTTCCTTGAGAACGTCATCCGTGACGCCGTCACCTATTGCGAGCACGCCAAGAGGAAGACTGTCACCGCCATGGATGTCGTCTACGCCCTCAAGCGTCAAGGCCGCACCCTCTACGGATTCGGCGGATAATTCTGTTGACTTCTCCAGTCTCGGCATTCCAACAACCAACCCAACCCAACGGCCCTCTTTAGGGCCACAAATTTACCAAAAATACAATAAAATCTACAGTAGATTTTTAATGACCTGAAAACTACGATGACGCCCCGAATTTTGGCGCGAAACCTCCTTTGGCACTGCGCCAGCGGCAAGGTGCCAGGTGCGGGATGCGGCTATTATCGATTGGTGGGGCCAAACGATTCAAAGCTGGGACGTAGACGCAGGCCATCATGGTGATGGCTCAAGAAGTCACCAAAAATGTGGTAGCGAAAAATTGACATACAAAGAAGCATTCTTAAGCATGCGCTGGTTCACGACTTTAAAATCTGAAAAGTAATGCCTTAAAATGCATTAAATCATTGGAGACAGTTTGTGCGATCAGTAGCGTCACGACAAATAAATTTAATAATGCCCCCTAGCTGTTAACTAAGTTGATTTTTGTGTCGCCCCCGATAGTTATTTTTCTTATCATTGGCATACCAAGCGTCCGGCATCTCTCGCTAGCGATTTCGTCTAGACCACAGGTTTGCTGGCGGGCTTGGAGCGGTTTACCGCTGTAATCTGGATGGAAAACAAAGACCCAGAATGCACCCTAGCTACAGTCAAGTCTTTCTTAGAACTGAGAACAACATGCTGCTCCGGTGCTAAGCTGTGGTCTCGATCGACGCCATCTAAAACTTGCTCGGGCCTATTTGAAACCCATAACTGGCCAACTGCTTCAATGCTCTGGCTCTTCACACTTGCAACGCAAATGCGCTTGGTTACGCCATTTTTCGACCAAAAAGAATTCCATTTGACAACGGATACACCCTCTTATGCGCTGCACGGAACCGCTTTAGCTTGGAAGCAGGTGCGTGACCTTACGAACTTTGACATTTTTCCAGAGCATTAAAATTTTCGGTTGCAAAGGCTGTGCGTTCGTCATTGACTATTCAAAGCCAGGCTGCAACGACACAACCGGAAATGGGGATGTGGGTGCAAATCTATAGCTTGAAAGGCACCTCATCTAGAACCTAACAATATTGTGTTATGATGATTTTCCTTTTCTGCTTGCCGGCAAAGTTCCGGATATATCCGGATGCACGCAAGCATGGTGATTTTTGGCCTTCTGAATACTATGCAGTTTTAACAGGTCCACTTGCCAGGATTTTAAGCAGTTCCATTTCCAATGCACGTGGACCGTACCGGGCCCGGGAACCGAGCTGTCTTACCGGTCTGCCGTGATTATCCAAGGAGATTATTTTGCCCTGTCGATCCGAGTGCAAGAGTGGGCCGTCGGTAGGCTGATAAGCCATTTAAGGTCAGCTGAAATTTAGAGACTGCGCGATACCATTTATTCTCCACTGGCCCAGACGATGAGGACCTGTGCATCGATGACGGCAACGTGATCATCTTGCAGCCACTGACATCACTGACTTGCGTCTCTATCTTTGACCCGTAGCGCTTATATCTCTATCAAAATTGAAGAAACGCTCAGCGAACAATACAACAAGACGGTGCCGTTCAATTTATTCCGGATGGGAAGCCTTGCGGAAGCTGGTTCACTTTTGGACATCTATGCTGGCGGAATTCCCGGGAATGGGAATGCGAATTTTTTGGGTAGCGCTCGGTAAGAGATGCGGACCAAAATAACAAATGATATTTCTAGAACATCGCAGGAAGACCAGCAATATAATAGTTTTGATAGTGTCGTCACTTTCATGAACCGAGACTTCGAGGACAACGTTTTTATTGTGCCGTCGATGAGTCGCGATGACCCAGGCCCGAGTGATTTCTTTTGGATAGCGCTTCACTCCAAACCCGACAACGCCTACCCTGCTAAGCAGCTTCAAATATCCGTGGATTTTTGAGGAGGATCGGGAATTTTTTCCCGAAACGGTCATCGGCATCGACTGTAAGGCAATAATTGTATCGCTAAAAGCGACATGGCCAACCAGGGCGGACGTTTCCAATCATTTTATACATAGAAAATCAAATAATTATGCTAGATAACGATATCCTTGGCACTTTGATGTCTCTCAACGCGCTGGATGACGGAATCCTTGAAGTCGGATTCACTGCTGATAATGAGAAAATTACCAGCAGCAAAAAGTAGGGAGTTGTTATATTTTGCTTGACGATGTTCAGCTACACATCAAAAAACGCAGGAACTAGCTACCCCCTACAAGAAAATATCAAACAGGTGCGCGCTACAAGTCAGACATTATGCAATCATACCTAGCTAAAATTCACTCCGGCATCAAACAGCATCGATGGAGGTTTTCAACTAGTACTCTACGCACAAATTGATGTTATTGGAGGCCTAGCCGTCCCGCGGCTTTCTGCGCGGCAGCCTTCATTCGAACAGCTCGATGAAAGATAAGGCAGTCGATTATGAGGATTGCATGACGAGGTAAGTTTATTAAATCACTTGAACATACCTTTCTGCGTGTCTTCCGAAGAGCTCTTTTCGACTCCTCGAACATTCCAGGGCCGACCTCATGACGCAAGTCTTGGATTGCTGCTCCAAGACGGGCGCTGCATATAATGGCCAACAAATCGGTTTTGACCTCCGAAATCTAACCGAATACTCCGGTGCCCCAGCCACCTTTTTCGTTCGGTTACACCAACAAGCGGAAAATGAAGGTCCCTGACTATCACCTACAATTTAAATTTTCCAGAGCTTCCGCTTGTCTGGACCATACCATATGATCCCTACGATCAAGACCAATTAGATTTTCGGGTTCCGCAATCCGAGCAAACAGTTTTTATGGCTCTAAGCCTGCCGACGATCGACCGGCACCTGTTTCGACGCTCGAACATCAACAACAATTCGCTGCCTTACTTTACGTTGCTCAATGCTATAATTTGGGTTTGATTTTCGACGGCTAGCGTGACGCCTTTTAGCCTCATAGTGCCAGTGAATGCAGCTACAATTTTTACGCGGGTATCGTCACCACCAAGGACGTTTCGAAGATGTTGGCAACTTTTAGGTGCGTGCTAGAAAGCTTTATATTTGATGCGTCGGGTGCTCGCCCCGGATGTTTATTTTCTGTAACTTGTGTATGATTCATTTATTGTATGATTTTTTTAGAAGCATTTATCATTTCCAGAAGTTCTGACGTCTTCTACCCACAAATGCTCTTCAGCGGTTCGTTTACCGTTGAGATTCCGGCAAAGTGCCAGCCGACAATCTCTTTTAGACGAGAACGTATGAGGTCTGACCTCCAACCGTGACGCCCATTTTTAGAGACATCAAAAATTGCGGAAATCACAAGAACTGAATGCACAGGGACGCGGTTGCTCGTGTCGCCAGGTTATAACAGTGCGCAGCTAAGGCAGAATTGCATGTCGGCGCCCATCATAACCTGGAGGTGCAGTGAGTGAGCGCTTGGCATAACGGCTTTCAACAATCAGATCCTGCCATGGATATAAAGTTTGAATTGATTGATCTGTTGGGCGCGGAATTTTCTGCCACTGTCACCGGATCCGACGGCATCTTCGTCAAGTTCTGTACCATCCGTGGGCCTTATTAGTTATTCTTAGGAATTATACCACTACCGAAGGGCCAATACATGACATACTCAACTTCACTGCAGTCGAGCAAATTAGTGTATGTATTTCGCAACCGTCCCGGCAGGAATCTTTTACAGTTATGGCATAGCGCACTACACAGGAATGGTACAGCTCTACTTCATGGATACTTTGCAAAATTACATTTTCCAACCGCATTCAGCCCGGAAATTACGACCATGCCCAGCAGGCTGACAGCAACAACCACGAACCTTGAAGGCACCGCGCTGTGCTTTTATACTTTTATTGTGCCATTTATTCTTCGAGTGACTGCTTTTCGTTGAAATCGATGTAACGAAGGCTGTAATGTTTTTGCGTTTTCTTGAAATACCCCACAATTTTTGTAAGCTCGGGAGGACAACAAACGCCGCAAGTTGTGGTTGTAAAAAAGAGAAATGGCAAAAACACAACTTGCGGCCTGCGAATTTTATGCATTCGCCACTTGCGTTAATTTTGCATTTAGGTTGCTAAGAACGGTTCCTATGATAAACTACTGTACGGTTTGCCCTTTCTTATCACAAGATCCCAAAGGTCCTTTAATCCGTGTCTGGACATAAGCGCTCCGGGTTAAAAGGCGCCTTTGTGGAGCTTTCGCGATTTAAGCAGTATTGAAAACAAAAAGCTAGAGTGTTGGCGGGCTGGGACTGGGGGCGAATATGTTATTCTGTGCTCCGATTACAGCTAAGTCGCCGTTCCTTAGCGATTAGCCGTTGTGCCGGATTTTGTTTCTTGTCCCGAGGAAGCGCTGTGTCCGGCCTATGCCAAATCCAGATGCCGTGGCTGCTGGTTTTCGCGTTACAATTGCAATCAACCGTTGCGTTCTTCGACCAGAAAATATTCCATTTGACGAACGACACGCCGTCCTATGCATTGCACGGAACCGGCTTGGCGTGGAAGCAGGTTCCTTTAGTATAGAACTCGCAATAGTACTGTAAAGTCGTTTGAAGAAGATAAAGCTTGTCGGCTGCGAGGGTTGCACCTTTGTAATTGACTATTCCAAGCCTAGCTGTAACGATTCGATTGGAAACGGAACCGTGGGCTAATTTTGCAATTAAAAGCTTCAAAAACTGAAAAACATTAAACGAAATTGTGAAGATGTTTCGCAAAATTCTCAAATAATAGACGACTTCTGTGCTCTGCCACGATGATTTACCGTTTCTGCTGGCCGGGAAAGTACCAGACGTGTCTGGATGTACGCAGGCTTGGTAGCTTGCTCTAGTAAGCCCAAAGCCATTTTTTTTAGGTCCACCTGCACCGACTTTCAACAATTCCATTTCCAATGTTCGTGGGAGGTATTGGGTTTTGAACTTGAGCTAGCGTACCGGGAGGAGGTGAAAACAGCTGGGAATTATTTTGCCATCTCAATACGGGTGCTGGAGTGGATTGAAGGTACGCGCCTAACTTTAAATGAGAGTATGAAGTTCAGAGAGGAGCAGGTATATGTTATTCTCCGTGTGGCCTGCCGACGACGAGGCTTGCGTGGATCACACCTATGAAATCCTCATGGAGCCTAGGGCGTTGTTGACTTCCGTCTCGAGATTCGACCCGTAGGCCACATTTCCTAACCCAATCCGTCGTAATTGTCAGAAAAACCTACACCAAAATGTCACCGCTGAATTTTTTCCTTATGATAAGTGATCCTGTAGACGGCGCTCTTTTGGAGATTTATGCCGGCGGAGATCCGGGGCCGGGGCGTACAAGTTTGATCGGCACGACAATGTTTGGCCTAATTCTCTTGAAGATAAAAATTTTGAAAAATTAAGCGCAACTAATGCAAACCAGCAATTAAACAGTCTGGCTGGCGTGGTCTCTTTCATTAATCGAGCCAAAGAGGAGATCGTCAAAATTACGCCGCTGTTGTTGGATATTGAGCTGGGTAGCTGCTTCTTGCAAACAAAAATGCTTGATTTTAGATAGAATTCACACAACGCCAAATCCAAATGGGCTCACATTCTTGAGCAGCGTTAGGTATCCGTGGATTTTTGAGGAGGACCAGGACCTTTTCGCGCATACCGTTATTTATATTGATTGTAGGTAAACAAACCTCACTAAACTGCTAAAAGGGCTTACACCCGCTTGATCAAGTCCGTACCTAAAGCCACATCCAGATAACCAAATTACGTGTACGAAGCTGACGATCGATGCGTTGGTGGGAGGTGCCCTAGAAGTTGGCTTCACTGAGGATAACATGGAGCCTAGCACCCGAAAAAAGTAGAGGTTTCGACATCTTGCTCATCATAATCTTAGCTATACGTCCGAAAGTGTCGGCGCAAGTTTCCCTCTCTCCGAGAACATCAAGCAGGTTAAATACCGACAAAATCGTAACAATACCTTTTCAGTTGTCATTTATGGCGTCGTCAAATAACACGCTGGGTGGCTTTCGGATAACCTTGCACACGAATTTCATCGAACGCAATGGGCTAACCACCCCAAACATCAACCCCCACAACCCGAACTTTTTGCTGAATCTAATTGAGATTTTTGGTAGGTTTCGAGTTGTGATTTTCAGTCCATGCATAAAGTATACTCTAGGTGACTCTTACCAAACCTGGCAATTTGTGGCAGCCGTTGGCGGGCTCGTTTCGGAGGCGAAAATCACATACATTGTATGCAGCCTGCATCACAATGTCACGACGGCCGACAGGGCTGTCGGTTATGATGATTGCACACAGAGGTATGGCCACAGGAAGAAGCTAACAAGGGAAAGCCACGAAATGATGGTGGGGTTTTGAAAGGCAAAATCCAAGCCGAGCTCAGGCAAAATTTTGAGCTTATTCCGGGTCCGTTAGATTTTCTCAAAAAAAAATCACATTTGCGACGCTAGAATGCCTCAAAATTCCTCAAATTCGGACTTTAGAGGCCCTTTAAGACGCTATAAATTGTTTATTAAAGATATTTTTCTGGGAATGAAGTCAATAGAAGCGTTGTTGTAAAGTTATTGACCTCCGCAGATGTTGAGAAAACCCTTTTGGGGAAAAACTGATTCGAAAGAGGACGCTTTCAGCAATCAGATTTGACACACTGTTTCAATTAAGTCGCAAGATACTATTTGCTAACCTTTCATGGCCTCTCAAGTCCTAACTTGGGGAATCCTGCCTTTGAAAACGCATTTCATTTTCGTGAATATGAAATTTTTTGAAATTTGAAAAATCTAAATAGTAATATTGTGATATGCTCGAAATACCGCACAATTTGGGCTTGGTGCCATTTCGAAATGCAGCCTTCATTTCTTGCCCTTCACTTTATGGATTTTCTAACACCAATAATAGGCCCGATTTAATGACAATAAGCCTGGACTGCTGCTCAAAGACTAGCGCAGTGGCGAATGCGCACCAAATAGTTTTCGACATCCGCAATTTGACTTCTTACTCTGGTGCTCCGACATCTTTATTTATTCACCTAGACAATGAGCTAAAAGACGAAGGTAACTCTTACATGGCCAGGTAATCACATTAAGCACTGCCCGAGCAACCCGACGTCTGGACGATACCATATGACCCCACCGATCCGTCCGAATTAGATTTTCGGGTACCTCCATCCGACACTAGAGTCTTTGTGGCTTTGAGTCTGCCGTTACTTGACGTGCAACATTTTCGTGGCCCCTTGACGAGCACCCAGTCGAGCCCGTTCTATACTATTCTAAGGGCGATTATTACGGTAAACGTTCATCAGAAAAATAAACCTAGATTAAGCCACACAACTACGAGGAATGCAACTATAATTTTTATTCCGATATCGTCACACGTGAAAACGACTCGGTGCCTTTGCTGACATTTCGGTAGCCTGAGGGCCATGCTTTTTATTTAGCGCCTTTAGTGGAGCTGACGTTTTCTACCCACAGCTCCTCGTCACGGGTGCATTTACCATTGAAGTCCCAGCCAACTGCCAGCCGACGATATCCTTTAAAGGAGAAGGCAAGCTATCGAGCTTGTCTTTGAAGCGGCAGCTCTAGAAGTTCCCAGCGACACTGTGTATACCATCACAGAGTGCACGGGGATGCGAATTGTGGTAGCGCCCACCTACAATAGTCTTCAAATGTGGCTCGGCGCTTGGAGGCCGATGGTCATCATCTGGATTTGCGGGACGTTGGGGTACCTTCGGTAGTGGACTGTTAGCGGGAAGGGGTTTAGCCTGGAGATTCTAATGCTGTTCTTTTCCATCTATTGGTATTATGTTTATAATCTAGGATATATTTTTATTGCGCTTTAGTAGGTTTTGATTGCCAGAAAAGGCACAAAAACATAAATTATTTTTTGAATATTTACAGTTTTTGACAAACACACAACGTTTTATATATGTTGTTTTGAGTGTTTTGTATACAAAAACCGTGTAGAATGTGATAAAAAAGTAATTCTGTTCCTCTCTGCTTGAAATCCTACTATATATAGAAAAAGTGTCTGTATGTGTGTGCCACCTCGCATCCACTCGTCTATCTGTCTGGGGGGATAACTCGATGGGTGATCAATTTTAAGGTACCTATCTTACGTCATTAGGTGCGTAATGGCCTGGAGATGACTGCACACATACAGATTTTACAAAATCACCTATTTTCGACATTCAGTTGAAGTTTTTGTGCAAACTTCTTTGTTAGGAATAATTAGCACAGATGGGAAGTAGGGAGTCGACTACATAAAAGGGCAAAAGAGGTTGATTTTCATATTTGTCATCTGAATTTAGGACAATTAAGCAAGGTGAAGGATAAAATGGGGTCAGACAGGGCCAGGGTTAAAGAGTCGCGTAGCGGCTTTTCAACCCTGGTACAGTAATAATAAATAATACTACCCTCTGTTATTTTTAGACCCAGCCGTGGACATGACGTTTGAACTAGTCGATCTGCTCGATGCGGTACTGACCGTCACTTTCGACGCACAAAATAATACGTTTGCGCGGTACTTAACGACATAATTTTTTAAATACATTTAGCAATTATACGTCGGCAGAGGTCACCCACGACCTATTCAATCTGACTTCTATCTCAAGAATTAGCGTAAGAGTTTTGAAAATCCAGACAGTTGACTATGTCAATCTTCAGATGACGTACGATGGAATTTCAAAATACAACTCAACTATCCGATGTGGATATTTCATCAAATTGTGGTTTCAAGAAGACTTTCAGGCGACGCCGGCAACGACCACGATGCACACGACAAGTAGCACTCGCTTGGCTTTTTGCTTATGTATATGCATGGCTGCTGTGGTTTTGCAAATGAAATAAATTATATTAACACGTTTTCCATAGCCTGCCGACACCATTATTTTCAGGCTGAATTTTTCGTTAGAGGCGCTACTTTGCTACCCGCGTTAAAAGATTACCTACCAGAATATCGAAAATCAGAAACACGAATTTTTGATAACACCGAGTTTTCATGATCTGGCATGTTCAAGGTCTGGAATTTTCACAATCTTAGGGTCTCAGAATCTCAATTTTCAGCCCCGAAATTTGCATAGGCTGGTCGCAGGGCGTAGGCGTGCAATTCCTGGAGCTCATACTGTGGATTCAGACTATGGAAATTTCGAGTTTCTAAAAACTAGGATTCTGAAAATTGGTTTTGTGAAAGTCTAAATTAAAAGATCGAGATTACAAGGATTCGAGATTATAACAGTTTGAGATTCTGTTTTTGATAAGTGCTGATTTTTGGTTGCCGGATTCCCGAAGTAAAATCCTGTGTGTTTTGGGCAACTTTATCACATGCGGCTGTGTCTGGACGTAGGCTGCCCGGGTCTAAAGGCGCTATATAAGCGGGGCTCAAAACAAAAAAAAAACTGGAGTCTTCACTGGTACACCCTAGAGATCAATAGGCGTTCAAGGCTCGGCTTAAGGCTATTCTGACGTTCCCTTGCCTATCAACTTGCAGCCCCCGGATTTTGAGGCCAGTCCTGACGCAAAGTATTCTAACAATTGTAAGCTGTCTGGTGGCATGTACCGATTTGAAATGCTTGGACTATTAGTTTTCGCGCTAAGAAGCCATTTCCTCGCCGCATTCTATAACCAAAAAGTGTTCCATTTGACGAAAGAGAATCCCTCATATGCTTTGCACGGCACAGGCCTGGCCTGGAAGCGGGTAACTTCAACCTGTGCCGCTGATATAATTCGTTTTTAGAACATAAAACTTACGGGTTGCATCGGATGCACCTTTATAATTGACTATTCGAAGCCCGGTTGTAATGATTCGATCGGCCATCAGGATGTAAGAATAAATTTGACAATCAAAACCCATGCCCCTTTTCGCCATCTTTGCACCGAAAATTAGAATTTTTTTAAATCGAAGAGTTTTCAAATCAATCTGAAAAAGCGAAATTCTCAAAAATTAGACAGCAAAATTCCAGGACCTTTCCATTCTGTGTTATGACGATTTTCCGTTTCTGTTGGCTGGCGCCGCCCCAGAAGTATCTGGGTGCACACAGGCTTGGCCCACGTGTGAAGACTTCCAACAATTTCAATTCCAATGCTCCTGGGAAATTTTGGGCTCCGCGCTTGAACTGCAGTATCGGCCGGCGGTCAAGATCCCTGAGGAATATTTTGCAATCTCAGTACGTGTCCTGGAGTGGATTGAAAGTAAGTCGTTAGCAGCACCATTGTTGGCTCGTTATAGCTAAAGATATCAGCTTTAGATGCCCCAAGATACCTGTTATTCTCGGTTTGGCCCGATAGCGACAAGTCTTGCGTGCATATTAACTACGCAATAGCCCTTGAGCCGCAATCAGTGTTGACCTGCGTATCGAGATTTGAACCGTATGCTTCTTTACAATTCGCTATAGAGGCTATGTCAGTTTCAGGGAAACGTACACTACAATGATACCGTACAACTTTTTCCGTATGCTGAGCGACGATGACGATGGAGCTCTTTTGGAGATTTATGCTGGCGGATACCCAGCGAAGGATCGAACGAATTTAATTGGTAGCACAAGGTGAGGAAAAGTATCATCGGAATCGTTAAAACTCGATTTGAAGTACATCACAGGCAGACCAGCAGTTAGACAGCTTTGCCGCAACTGTCACTTTCATTAATCGGGATGAAGATCACTCGATTAGCGTTGGGCCGGAAATCTCCAAGGTTGCCATTGGTACGGTTTTCAAATAGTTCAGGGCCTATGTCACTGTGGCCACTAAAATGGCTCTTAACTGAACCTCAGTTTTAGATAACATCATTATTACGCCAAATTCAAATGCACCGACATTCTTGAGCAGCTTCAAATATCCCTGGGTTTTCGAAGAGGACCCGGAACTTTTCAAGCCAACGATCATTACCGTAAACTGTGGGCAGAATGACTTGTCAAACCCCCTTTTGTTTTACCTCGTGGCTTTTCATTTGCCTGAAAAACCAAGTTTTAAACAAGCCTTTACAGGCTAATATCGAAAAATCTTTTTAAATGCGGAATCATTTGTTTAGATAACCAAATTACCTGCACTTTGCTAACGATTAATGCCTTGGAGGGTGGAACCCTAGAAGTTGGATTTACTGACAATAATGTGCAGATTAGTGCTCGTAAAAAGTAAGTTCTTTGGTGGACGGTTAACGGTAGAAATAGCTACACATCGGAGAGCGCAGGATTAACAATACCTCTGACAAAAAACATCAAGCAGGTATGCGAGCATACAGGCAAATTAAGGATCGAGGCCCTTTTAAGCTAAAGTTTCTGACAAACGAAAATAGCACTAATGATGGCGGCTTCCGGGTAGTGATCTACGGAAATGATATCGCACGCGGCGGGCTCACCACCCCCAAAATCAGCCCCGACGAGCCGAACTTCTTGCTGAATGTGGTCGATATTTTTGGTATTAACGCTTTGCCATAACATTGTTGATTTTAGGCGACGAGGGCAATGTAAACCAATTCACGGCTGTTGTCGATGGGCTGGTTTCCGAGACCAATATCACATACACGGTATGTAGCCTCCATCACAAAATCACGATGGACGATAGGGCGCTCGGGTATGACGACTGTACCACCAGGTATAAGCTTTTAGTGAACCGAGAATGCGTTTGAAAATTCTTCTACAGTTCTCGATCCGAGCTGATGGCGGTGTTCTTGGATTGCTGCTCAAAAACCTGCGCGGTATCGAACGGCCAACAAATAAATTTTGACATCAACAACATCACCACGTATTCGGGGGCCCCAACGGCCTTTTTGATTAGGTTGCATGAAAATCCCGAAAATACAGGTATCAGTATCTTAGTTTACCTCTGCAAATCCTGCAATTTAGAGCAACCGACCGTCTGGACACTTCCATACGCACCGTCTGACGATGAAGAGCTGAATTTTCAGGTTCCTGCATCCGACACCAACGTGTTTGTGGCCATAAGTCTCCCGCCATTGGACGTACGGCATTTCCGTGGATCTATACGAGCCACTAATCTTAGCCCGCGCTTGGTCATGCTCAAGGATATATATTGGGTAACGCTGCTGCTGATCGCTGAACTCTTATTTAGCCGCACAGTACGCTCGAGTGCAATTATCATTTCTACCCCGGGATCGTTACAGGTGCCACCGGGACGGTGCCGCTGACGACATTTAGGTGCGCTAACGTCATCTATTTAAGTAGAGAGATAATATCAATGAGAGATACAATAGAGGAAGAACGAGAGATAGAGAGAGAGAGAGAGAGAGAGAGAGAGAGCGAGAGAGAGTAAGAGAGAGTCTCAGAGTTGCCCCAGCAGCACATACCTGAATATCGGTGCAAATGGCTTTTAGAGGTACCGAAGATTTCTATCCGCAATTTCTATTCACGGGCTCATTTACACTCGAAGTCCCGGCCAAGTGCCGACCGACAATATCCTTTAATGGCGGGGGTAAGGCGAGACAGTGATGGTACGTTGCTACCTGAACCCTTAGAAATAATAAACGCTCCGGAAGTGATCCTAACCGAATGCTCGGGAATGCGGCTAGTGGTGGCCCCCGGATACAACAGCTTAGAAATGACTTCTGGCGCCTGGATGCCGATTATCATCAGCTGGGCGTGTAGTGAGTTTTGGCTCGCAAAATCAATCTGATAACGTAGGCCCACCGGTGGACATGACGTTTGAACTTGTTGATCTTGTTGACGCCGCCCTCGGCGTTACTTTTCAGGCGCATAATGATACTTTTGTCAGGTGCCCAATCCCGTTACAAAGTGACGAAAGGTCTATTTAGGAATTATACGTCAACCGAGACCACACGCGACCTTATAAAAGCCTCAAATGTGTCAAAAATAAGCGTATGTGTTTTTCGATGAATTAAAAATTCCATGCATAGATGACGTATGCTGGGTTACACCCGAATACCTCGGCGAAGCGATACGGCTATTTTGTCAAGTTGCATTTCAAAGACGGTCCTGCAACAACTTCAACGACGATGCTGGGCGACCTAATCACAACAAGCAATCAGGATGGTCCGACGTTTTCCGTACTTTACTTCGTTTTGTTACTTCACAGCTTGGTGTTATTGTGCTAGTTATATTGCTCAAATAAACAGTACTCTATAAGCCGTTACATCTCATTAAGATAATTGTTTTAAGCGTCTTTGCCGAAGTCTTTGTCTTTCGAATCAGGGGGGGCATGTTAACACCAAAAAGCACGTTTTAAAATGTATCATACGGCTCGGCGTTTGCTGATCGTCACCGAGCAACACTCTTAATACCTTTGATCCGACGCGCTCGCAGACACTGCAAGCCATGTGTTACTAGAGAACCGATAAGACTGACCCGCAGTTTCAGCGAGAAAAAACGCCAAAATACCACAAAAAGATTCTGGTTGAAATGAAGCTTATCGTCATCACCATCGCCTGCCAAATCGATATTCTCGCCACCATACAGGAGCCACTCTACATACCACAACTCACCCCGGTCGAGCCGGCTTTACTAGTGAACCTGGAAGACGTCGTACCATTGTATATGGCTTGTAAAGTGCAAACATAATATTTCCCAAATTTCAGCGGAACCCTGATAGCTGGCGTTGCCGGATTGAATCGTGACACGTGGATAGTGTATACGCTATGTACGCTAGCCGCAAATTATGAATGTGACCTTCAGGCCGCAGAGTTTGGCCCGTGCTCATCTAGGTAAAGCGATTTCTGATATTTTGGAGACCCTGACAAGGGAACCACGTAATGCTAAGGTGGCGTTTTGAAATCGACCTAAATCACCTGCTGCATAATTTTTTGCTTATACCCAAGCCGTTGCAAATTTTCGTCAAATCACTCGTTTTAGAAAGTTATTGCGTTTCAAAGTTCCATTTCTTCTCAACTTTGCGAGTTTACGGTCAACTACTTTGTTGCCTTTCCCTGCAGATTGTTTCAGAAACGAATGTCGCCATCGTATTCAGATAAATTTGCTCTATCGAATCGGCCTTTTACCTCTTTTGAAATTTTGAAAATCGATAAAATTGGCGATGCGTGCTTATAGACTCCAATTTTTACGGGGATGGTGAAAAACAACTCATTTCTCGCACGATGAAGTGACTGTCTATTGCCAATAAGGCATTTGCAAAAAGGACCGTTCGAGTCAGAGAAAATTCCCTACCAGGTAGGCGGCTACGCTAGGAATGACTAGTAATACTGAAACAAAAAAAACGTCGAGCATGGTGACAGATGACGTCGATGGCGTCCATGGCGCATTCGATAGGGAAATTTTTTCTGGATACGATAACTATATTCGTTTTACAAAAATTGGTCCGGAAAGGCAAAAGAAAAGACTTTGACGCTAGAACTTAGAACCTCATCAAATGAGCTATTTTACAAGAATTGAGAAGAGGGCTGGGATCGGCAGAAAATTCTCGACAAGATGGGCCAGGCTCCTTTAGAAACGTTACCTTAACCCTACGTGCTTCCACTGTGTGGGCATTTTGAATGCTCAGTGCCGGAAAAATATTTTCAGTGGACCCGTGGGACCGTTGAGCCTAAATTGCTGCGAGAAAACGGCCGTTGTCGCCAACGGTCAACAAATTTCTTTTGATATCCGGAATCTGACGTCTCCGCCCCCGGTGTCTACCACGTTGGAAATGCAGCTACAGTGGCGGACAAAAGTTTCCAACATTTAGTTTTTTGGCTCTATTTTGCCGATTTAGTGTGGAAATGTTCCCTAGAACGCATTCATAGCAGAATTCGGCGTGCTTTTTTACCTGCAACACGCTTACGACCACAAATCCGCAAAATAAAAAAGTTTGATAAAATTCTCAAAAATGTCGATGACAAAAGTTTCCAACATTTTTCTTTAAAAACTCCGCGGAAATGAATGGCGTCCTCTAGAGTGGTAATATTGATGTCAAATCGTTTAACATAATTGTTTTCAAGCATTCATGGTTGCAGATTAATTCCTACAGCTTTAGAGAATTTTTTAGAAACATCGGTTTTAATATGGGAATTCGGCATTTTGACTTCTAACTTTCGAAATCTTAGTTTTTGTCGGAATATCGATATAAGGCCCGATAGAGCGCGAAAAGACAAACATTTTGATATTACATGGGCTTCATGAATCCACTTATCCAAACGGATACGGACGGTCGACGCGCCTCATAAGTGGCGCGCATAGTAACTGGGAGGCCGTCTCTAACAAAAAGATGCAGTTGCACCGCGCGCAGAATTGATTTATGTGTAGCTTCTTCCGCAGCCGGGAAGCACAAAGCAATTTTATATCAAAATGTTTGTCTTTTCGCGCCTTATATCGATATTCCGACAAAAACTAAGATTTCGAAAGTTAGAAGTCAAAATGCCGAATTCCCATATTAAAATCGATGTTTCTAAAAAATTCCCTAAAGCTGTAGGAATTAATCTGCAACCATGAATGCTTGAAAACAATTATGTTAAACGATTTGACATCAATATTACCACTCTAGAGGACGCCATTCATTTCCACGGAGTTTTTAAAGGAAAATGTTGGAAACTTTTGTCATCGACATTTTTGAGAATTTTATCAAACTTTTTTATTTTGCGGATTTGTGGTCGTAAGCGTGTTGCAGGTAAAAAAGCACGCCGAATTCTGCTATGAATGCGTTCTAGGGAACATTTCCACACTAAATCGGCAAAATAGAGCCAAAAAACTAAATGTTGGAGACTTTTGTCCGCCACTTTCTATCAGGGTGAAGGTTTGTTTCAAAAATTGCGCTTGGATTCATTGGTAGAACTTGCGACAATTTGGCCGATTGCATATGACTTTCAAAAGGACCAAGAGTTGACGTTTCGAGTTCCACAATTCTGGACAACATTTTCGTGGATTGTGTTTAGCGTGCCGCTAGAAAATACTCGCAACCTTAATCGTTCCTTCGTTGTTGTAGTACAGGATATTTCCTGGGTAAGCGATGTTGATGCGCGTTAATGAAGTCGAGCCCATCATCGAGCTCTTTTCAGCCTCGCAGTCAAATAGGGTGCACCTATAATTTTTATCCGGGGGTCGTCACCCGGCCCCTGAACGCAACTCTCACAACGTTTTGGTATATATTGATTTTTCGCTAAATCGCGATTACAGTGATCCGGAAATCTTCTATCCGCAATACTTATTCTCCGGAACGTTCACTCTCGCGGTTCCCGAGAAATGCACTCCTACAATAAGCCTCCGGAGACAAGGTACATCTGTTGTTTTGTTGGTTGCGAAAGGCCCTACCAGATCTGACCGCTTACGACATAATGGAGCGAAGTGATTGTACTGGAATGCGTCTCGTAGTCTCCCCTGGCTACAAGCAACCACCGATATTTCTAGTGAATTCCAGTCTGCATACAGTCACGTGGAAATGTACGTTGAAGGGACGCAATTCATGAGAATTGCTATCATAATGTCGAAAATCACAACGTCGAGATTTCATAATGTCGAAATTTCATAATGTCGAAATACAGAATGTTGAAATTTTTTTGCATAGGATTCTACGGTTTCACCGGGGAACTTAGCCTATGTAAATTTCGACATTCTGATTCGACATTCTGAAATTTCGACATTGTGAAATTTCGAAATTATGAGTTTTGACGTTTCGGAGATAAGCCAATTCATGGTAGTACCCCGCAAGACCCCTGCTTTTCAGGCACGGCTATTGATTTGAGATTTGAGCTAGTTGACATGCAAAACGTAGAATTGACACTGTTTGCAATTAATTTGAATGGCACAACTATGCAGCAGTAAGCCTTGGAACCAAAAGTTAACTCTGATTTAGCAACTACACTTCTACCGGGTTCTCATCTAGCGAACTGTACCTTACTCAAATAACAAATATAGCTGTAGGCGCCCGTGCCTTATTAAAAAAAGACTTTAGTTGCGCCATCAGATCATCGATCCCATGATCAGAGACCGTGGATATGGATACTTCGCTAGGGTGTATTTTGGCTATTTACCAACCGCGGCTTCGACATGGTCTCCAGCACCAACGACCTCGGCAAGCCCAGCGGGGAGAGCGCGCACACTTTATGCTGTGCTCTGTGCTCTGCTTTGTTTTTCCCTTCCAAATGCATAAGTGCTGTGTGGTTCCTAATTTATGTAAAAAATAGTTTTGCTGTTTAAAGGGTTTCCTCATAACAAACATATGTAGCAGCAGAAGAAAAGAGGAAAATAGCTGCTGTAAATTCTGTGATATTCCTTATTTGCGCAAATATTGCATAAATGTTTTCTAAGCTATCATTGTTCATTTCAATAAATGCAACCAGTCTCTGTGCCCTAATTCCCTCGTATCGATCGACCCACCTAGCACTTGGATGAATGCCCGGCACAGTTTTGGCGCGAATCCGGCAAAGCGTTCGCAAGATAAGGACCAAAACGAGAGCTTAACTAAGGATTTTATAGAATTTGTGGCCCTAAAGAGGGCCGTTGGGTTGGGGGATTGGGTTGTTGTTGGAATGCCGAGACTGGAGAAGTCAACAGAATTATCCGCCGAATCCGTAGAGGGTGCGGCCTTGACGCTTGAGGGCGTAGACGACATCCATGGCGGTGACCGTCTTCCTCTTCGCGTGCTCGCAATAGGTGACGGCGTCACGGATGACGTTCTCAAGGAACACCTTGAGGACGCCACGGGTCTCCTCGTAGATGAGGCCAGAGATACGCTTCACTCCACCACGACGGGCAAGACGGCGGATAGCCGGCTTGGTGATTCCCTGGATGTTGTCACGGAGAACCTTGCGATGGCGCTTGGCACCTCCCTTTCCGAGTCCTTTGCCTCCTTTGCCGCGTCCAGACATTCTTCGAAGTGTTGATTCGATGAGATGGGGAATGGTGGGAGCTGGGAGTTTATATAGGGTGGGGAGGGGCGGTCCGGCCGCGATTCCAACAGTAGGCGGAGTCACCCGGTAGCCTAGGGTACTACTTTCCCGCGCTTTCAGGTCCTTAAGCCCCGCCCACTTGGTATATAAACCCTCTGAAACTACCATTCGATATCTCATCCCGAGAACAAGAAGGAAATGGCCCGCACGAAGCAAACCGCCCGCAAATCGACCGGAGGAAAGGCTCCTCGTAAGCAGCTTGCCACGAAGGCTGCTCGCAAATCTGCCCCAGCCACCGGAGGTGTCAAGAAGCCCCATCGTTATCGCCCTGGAACCGTTGCTCTGCGTGAGATCCGTCGCTACCAAAAGTCGACCGAGCTTCTCATCCGCAAGCTCCCCTTCCAGCGTCTCGTTCGCGAGATTGCCCAAGACTTCAAGACTGATCTCCGCTTCCAGTCATCGGCTGTTATGGCCCTTCAGGAGGCTTCAGAGGCTTACCTTGTCGGTCTCTTCGAAGACACCAACCTGTGCGCCATCCACGCCAAGCGTGTCACCATCATGCCAAAGGACATCCAGCTGGCTCGCCGTATCCGCGGAGAGCGTGCTTAAGAAGTTCTGAAGCTTGATCCTTCACAACAACCACCCAACCCAACGGCCCTCTTTAGGGCCACAATTTAATGATGAAAATAAATAGTTTGGCTTCGGATTAAACGCCACCTTTAATAAAAGCTATCGAAATTAATAAACCCGCCAAAATATTTGCGCTGGCTGAAAGCTGGTGGTTATTTCAGAAGGCCGTATCCTCAAATCTGAGAGGATTTCATTGACTTGCAGATTGGAAATGTAATTGGCTTATTTCATATGTTGTCGTGCCTTAAAGCGGCTCTGGCAGCACACCGATTACGGCATTTTGGGGACCGGGCAGAGACGCAGAGTTCTGTCTGCGTCTCTCCTCTGGGCGCGCTCTTTCTCTCCCTGCCGCGACGCACCCGACCGCGACGCTTCCACGAATCGTGGAAAAACGAGCCTGCTGCCAGAGCCCCTTTAAAAGAAAATTTAATAAATTCATCTTGATATGGAGCAAGATTTCAACACTTTTTAGGTTTCACTTCGGCTTGGAACTTGGAATAATTGATAAATGACGAAATTTGCATATCATCAATCTGCCGAATTTTCGAAAAAACCGTTGGTAGATTTGATATTCGCTTCGCTATTTATCGACAAACTGGCAAACCTTTTCATTCCGACCATTAGTATACTTCTTCTCGGTCCCCGAATGGTTTGCTGTTCGGGCTTGACCCAGTCCCGGGTCGCCACGGGGGACAACTTGGCGCCAAAAATGTCTGTTGGCTCCCTGCCAGAGGCGTCCCCTCCGGCCCCGGGCCATCAACCCCAGGAGTTAAATCGATATAAACGCAAAATAAGTAAACGAGAAACCCTAATTTCTAAAAAAACAATATCTGCCAAATACAGAGACGTCCGACTTTATTCATTTTGCCTGCAGCCTACAGTATCTTCGCAGATTTTCATGTTTCTAAAAGTAAAACAGTTATTGAACGAGGCTTTGGTAGGCGGAAACCAAGAATAAAATTTCATAAAATACGTCCTAGAAAATTCAAACCCAAAAAAAGCCGGAAAAGCGAAATTCCGACGGCGGCTTTTCTTATTGGGGCAACCGATTTTTTCATGAATTAAAATATTTGAAGGCTTTCTTGGTCCTAATAATTGGCACTGTTTAAATAATACGCCGCTGATGCCTATCAAACTCTCGTAAATAAATCGCTATTTGAAGGTGCAGGACGCACAAGTATTTCTTGCTCCTAAACCGATCCGGAGCCAGGTAGACCTCGATTTTGCACAATATCGGAACACCAGCATAAGTTATTGCGTTTTACCCTTTTCGGAAATTTTTATGGAACTTTGCTAGGAATTTTTTTTTGCATTCCGCCGCCTTTTTTACGATAATTAGAAATATTTTATTTAGATTGTGGCCCTAAAGAGGGCCGTTGGGTTGGTTGTGGTTGGTGTTGGCAATGCCAGCCAAGTTGTCATTTCAGTATCACTTGATCCAAATATTTATTTGGAGGAAGTGTACTTGGTGACGGCCTTGGTGCCCTCAGAGACGGCGTGCTTGGCCAATTCTCCGGGGAGAATGAGGCGGACGGCCGTCTGGATTTCGCGAGACGAGATCGTCGACCTCTTGTTGTAGTGGGCCAGACGAGAAGCCTCCGAGGCGATACGCTCAAAGACGTCGTTGACGAACGAGTTCATGATGGACATGGCCTTTGAGGAGACACCAGTATCGGGATGGACCTGCTTGAGGACACGGTAGATGTAGACGGAGTAAGACTCCTTGCGGGACTTCCTCCTCTTCTTATCTCCGGTACGGGCGGCCTTTTGGGACTTTCCGGCCTTCTTGGCTCCCTTGGCGGACGGCTTGGGCGGCATATTCGACGAGTTCGAGCAGTTGATGCAAGATGGGGATACTACTAGGTTGGGGCCTTATATGCCATTCTAGAGGTGCGAAGGCGGGATTTGGTGACCTAGGAAGACACTCCCCCGGGCTATGCGAGACTCCGCCCTTCCACCCTCTAGTAGGTATAAGAGACCCCCTATCCCCTTCAATCCTCATAGTCAACTCGACTCTACCCAACTCAACTCGACATGTCTGGACGTGGCAAGGGAGGCAAGGCCAAGACTGGTGGCAAGCAAAAGTCTCGCTCGGTGCGAGCCGGACTCCAATTCCCCGTTGGTCGTCTGCACCGTCTTCTCCGCAAGGGCAACTATGCTCAACGCGTCGGAGCCGGAGCCCCGGTCTACTTGGCCGCCGTTCTTGAGTATCTCGCTGCCGAGGTTCTCGAATTGGCCGGCAATGCTGCCCGTGACAACAAGAAGACCCGCATCAACCCCCGTCATCTTCAACTCGCTGTCCGCAACGATGAGGAGCTGAACAAGCTGTTGTCGGGTGTGACGATTGCCCAGGGAGGAGTGCTGCCCAACATCCAGGCTGTTCTCCTGCCCAAGAAGACTGCCGGAGACAAGGAATAGATCTCTGAAAAGACATCTACTTCCTAGTGTCGAGCTTCTACTCAACCAAATACCCAACCCAACGGCCCTCTTTAGGGCCACAATCTAAATAAAATAAAATAACCTGTTAAAAGTTCACTTCTGAAATATTAAAATTGACAGTTGGTTACATATCTCGCCACCAGCTTCACTTTGATTTAATTTTTCATTTGTTGCCGCTGCTAAGCAATTCAAAGCCCGTTTGTCGGCATTCGATAGGCTCATTGGAAAGGGGGCGCCATGATGGATCTTCTTTTCATTAATTTGACGTTACAAAAACTGAATTTGCATTAAGGGGGACATCAAACGAACAAAAACCAAAAACTAACTCGCAAACATTTTGGTATCTTATTAAAAACTTTTTGATTGTCGTTGTCTGGCCCTGATCATATAAGCCCAAATACCTATTCCGGTTTCCACACCAAACATGGCTCCGATGCGGCAGCTCAAGTGATATTATGCGCTTAGAGCTTTGATAAGCCGATGTAAGGCGGGCGTTTTTCGGCTAACATTTCCTCATCCCTGCGTTTTTCTTATCGGCACATCCGCAACTCTTCTGGTGCGCTTGGCACATTCTGAGTGACATCAAGTTTTAAAAGCCTTTGCGATGAAAAATCATCTGCTTTTGTTGTTTATTGCCGTGCTACGACTTGCACTGTGCTTTTTGGACAGAAAACTATTTCAATTGACAAAGGATAATCCGTCATATGCATTGGATGGGAATGTTTTGGAATGGAAACAGGTGCATTATGGTTTTAGAATTCAAAGGTTTTAAAGATAAATTTACAGACTTTATTAGTATTCGCGTTTTAAAGAACCTTTTAGAGCATCACGGTAGTTGGGTGCGAAGGGTGCACGCTTCTAATCGATTATTCCAAGCCTAACTGCACCGATACGGGTGGTGATGGAAAAGTACGTCAAATTACTAAATTAGCTGCTTAAAGGGATGCCGACGGCATAGACAATCGATTACGCGCGGAAAAGAAAATGTCTCTGCGCCTCTCCCCTGGGCGCGCTCTCTCCCCTGTTGGCTACTTGCCAATTTGTTGATGGGGGGGGGATCGACACATGCCGTCGGCAGCCCTTTAATAACTAGATAGTTAAAAAACTATTTTTCTAGAATCCAGCAATTCGATGCTACGATGAAATTCCAATTTCGATTGATAGAGAAGTGCCTGACGAGCTTGGATGCACGATGGTCTGGTATCAACTTTTCATCGACCTGAAATCCAATCTCTTTTCAGGCCGTCATGTACGACTTTCATGTACATTGAAACGCAATGCTATTGGGAGGTCCAGACCGGAGAAGTGGAGATTGGCTTCAGAAACATCGACAGTCCACCGGAGGCATTCGCCGTATCGATCAGGGTACTTGAATGGGTCGACGGTAAGTGTCGAGGCAGCTGGGAAACCATTAGCCACATATTTCAGTAAACCATAAATACTTTTTGATGGCCTATTCCGAGCCGTCGGAACGACTATGCGGTGCAGCCACTTGGCTGATGCCAGGAAGCATTTTGACCTTTGTTCCGCCAATGGTCATGTAAGTCGGATGCCCAAAATTACCGCAAATCAATTATATTAGTAGCAATTATATGAACACCGTCACCATCAGCTCGTTCCAATTTCATGAATTCACAAACGACACCACCTTTGTCGAGGCGTATTATGGTGGCGACCCAGGCTACAGCGAGACGAACTTTGCCGGAAGGATCGAGTAGGGCGCCTGATAAAAAAATTTGAATATGTTCCGCTAAGTGCAAGTGTCAAGATATCAACGTTTTTGACCTTCTCAGCGGTCACCACCTTGGTTAACCGCAACGCCCGAGGCACTATTGCCTTCAGATCGGACGCAACTAGCTGGAGACTGGGTAATCACGAAAGTCTCTCCTAGCATGATGTTTCTTTCCAGATAAGGTTCATTTGACCCTTGCTCGGTACACACCGACGCATTTATCCAGCTACAAGTATCCCTGGATTTTTGAGGAAGATCAGGATTTATTCCCCGTTGCGACGATTGGAGTCGGATGTAAGGGTTTGGATATCCCCCAACCACTTGCGGTTTAAGTCAGTGGCGATGTGTGCAAAATACTGACAATAGACGTGATAGAAAGCGGGGAATTGGTGATAGAGTCGCGGAATGAGCAGTTCGACAACGTTACCAACAGGCATTTATCGCTGCTTTGTCCAGTCGTCCAGTTTTTAGATACACCAGCGCTAGGTCGGGCACAAAATTTCCGTTTGGGAGGATAATTACTCGTGTGCGTAAACACCTGCTCAATATAATATTTTTTTCCCAGGTCAATTATACGTCTCCGATTGGTGAACCGTTGCGTACAGGATTTCGGATCTCCACCGAGACCGCACTTGCCATGACTGGCGATGCGATCGTTTCCATTACGACGGCAGAATCCAGTTATATGTTCAATTTGGCAGATATCATCGATCCTATGTAAGGTTTGGATATAAATTCATTAAAGGGTTCGGAAGTCAAAATGCGCGCGTGCGGGGATTGAACCTGCTGGTCAAAAAAACCAAAGGGTTCCTCCCAAAAAGTGTCAGAAAAGTGATTTCAATGCGAAAAAAAATATTTGGATAAAACCGAAATATTCTCGGGGGCGAAAACGATTTTTCCGTGCCCGGCAATTACATGTCGTAATGCCGTGTATGGCACGCAATTTCTCGATCTCGGTGATTCTCTAATCCATTTTCATAATTAAAAATCCAGAATGATCACAATTCGGTGACGATTCCAGAAATAGCGCCAAAATTTTTTTAATTTGAAGCGTTTTCACGCACAATCAGGGGCAAACGATGAAGCGCGGCGCGCTCGCGTTGCGGTCGCATGTGGCTATTTGCTGTGAAATCAACGCTGAGAAGCGTGGACCAGATTTAGGGGGGCCCTTTAAAGAAAGATTCACCACCCAAGTTCATAAAATCTTTCCACGGTATAGGGTCATTCAGTTTCTATTGCGCGACCCCGGGGTATCCCCGTGCAGGCCCGTAAGTGGGGGGCGGGGGCGAGCCGCCCCCGAAATCGGCCGAAGGCCGAAAAGTACATAAGGGGGGACCCTTATGATTTAATTTTTCCAAAAAAATTTTTGCCTGCGGCGCTGTTTTTGGCTATTTTTAACACTAATTTTAGTGTTATAAACCCTATGTTTTCAAAAATTTTGCCTGCGGCGCTGTAGTTTTCGTCCTATTAGTGAAAAATTTTTGGGGTCGCCCCCCCCCCGAAATTTGGGGTTGTTACGGCCCTGTCCCCGTGGTTTAGTCGTTTTGTCCACATTTAGTTTCTGTGGGAAGATTCGGAGCGTCGAATGCACTCAGGAAAGTTTTCCCGCGCATTTTCTCGAGTTCGCATGCAAATAGCCTAGTGTGTAAATAGTAAATAGTGTAACGAGCCGCCCAGCGTACCCCAAGGGCTTGTCCGGGAGCGCACTCTAGAAAACTGAACCGCCCTGCAGCGTGGCCTGATTTTATAAAATTTGGAGGTGAATATTTCTTCCAATCCGCAAAGAAAGCAAGCTTCGGCCGCAAAAAAAATCAAGTGGGCTTTAACCACCTTGCCAGGCAACGATTTGTGGCGCGTTTCGAGGAGCTGACACAGGAGCACCGCGCTACGCTGACTATCTGTAGCCTTGACTATTCCAGCCAACCATCACAAGAGGCGGTCAACTTTGTTAATTGCACGTCTCGGTATGTGAATCAGATCGAACGTAGAAACTCTGGCATTTTTCATTTATTTCTAAAGAGGCACTTGTCATAAATTTCTATTCTCCCTACCCAGTAATTCAAACGTTTTTCTTAATTTTTTTGAATAAAGTTAAGATTTATTCTTTTAGGGCAGACTTGACGACGAGGTTTCTAAATTGTTGCACGAAGCACGTGCACGTGACAAACCGAACTTCCATAAGTCTCGATTTTTATAACTTTACCTATTTCACCAATGGTGCGGTGGTCACGTTTGCCGTGCAGCTGTTCGACGACGGTTAGTCTGGCGATTTAAAGGAATTTATTAAACTCGACTTTGATTACCACTGCGAATCCTTTAGTTGAAGACCTCACCATCCATCTGCCGTACAATGTTTATGAAGATGATGAGCTCGCGTTTAGAGGTATTTCAACAAGGAACAATCGTTAGGTAGATTAGTTCCGGAGACGAACAAGACCTTCTTTGTGGGAATCAACCTCCCAGGTTTTGTAATAAGCCCGAAAACCGACGGGCCTTTGCGTCAGGATATACATTCTGCGATTTTGAAGTCGATCTTATGGGTATGAAATCAGTTAAAAATCAAAGTTAACTTAACAGCCGCACAGCGTCATCGATTGCGAGTACAATTTGTATCCTGGATTCATCACGACCCGAAACGTATCAAAACCTTTTATTACGTTCAGGTAATTATCAGTTAGCGGGTGCTGCAAAATTCTTTCCGACCAACTAAAAGCAATCTTTACGCGCTTTTGGCTAAAATGAACTACGAAATTGCATGTAAAAACTTTTTGCAGGAATTCCGACATCTTCTACCCACAATGGCTTTTCTCGGGCACTTTTACATTGGAAATCCCTGCCGGCTGCACGCCTACAGTTTCGTTAGGAAGAGAAGGTAATCCTCAGATAAATCTTTGCATTGCAAAATCAAATTTGAGATATGGTTTCAACCGAGCAGCTAGACTCCACAGAATGTAGCGGTATGCGCTTCGTCGTCACCCCTGCATACAGCTCGGCTCCACTCCGCAACCACCTGGGAACCTTGCAGAAGGTGACCTGGATTTGTAGGTCGAAATCGCATTGCGAAACCGAATTCGAATACAACTTTGAGTGTCATTAATTGTAAAAATTTATCCTGCACTCGTCAAAAAATTCCGGTGGATATCGCTTCAGGTGATCCGGTCGACGTTGAACTCGAATTGGTTGATTTGGTGAATGCAAATATGGATATATTCTTAACGCATGCAGACGGAACGATCGAACACATGTCGGTTCCCAAAAACAAGCACCTTAAAATTCCAGGCATTTCAACGCAACGCAGCCAGCAACAAAAGGAAAAGCGGAACAAATCACTAACCTTACCGTGGTCGTAACTATGTGTCGGGCGTTCAAAGTTGTTCAGATTTACCAGCACGAAAACTTGAAAACCGTCCACGCTAGAAGGGGCTACTTCGTGCGGGTCTTTTTCGCAAATCAAACCAGGCCAGTACCTAACGTTACTTCGACTCCGTTTGGGACGCCGACGCCCTCGAGAGCAATGCGATCCGAGTTTTCTCTGGTCTTTGTGTGTTTGGCATGCGTGTTTTCAATTAGTGTTGTTGAATAAAGACATTCGCGACGCTACTAACGACATTATGCTAGGTTCTCGCTATTCCTACCGACCAAACTCTTAATCAGTCTTCAGGATGCTGCATGCCAAATGTCGCCTGGTCGTCTATTCAATTTGGACGCATCACACATTTACCATCATCAATCGATGACTGCCTTGCGCAGCAAAGCCCTAACCCAAGTGCCAGGCCGGGTTGCCGCCAAAATGCTACGAGATAAGCCTCTTTTTTAAAACCCAAAAACACAAGTGTAATTCTGATTTTTATTTTTATTAAATTTGTGGCCCTAAAGAGGGCCGTTGGGTTGGGTTGGTTGTTGGAATGCCGAGACTGGAGAAGTCAACGGAATTATCCTCCGAATCCGTAGAGGGTGCGGCCTTGACGCTTGAGGGCGTAGACGACATCCATGGCGGTGACCGTCTTCCTCTTCGCGTGCTCGCAATAGGTGACGGCGTCACGGATGACGTTCTCAAGGAACACCTTGAGGACACCACGGGTCTCCTCGTAGATGAGGCCAGAGATACGCTTCACTCCACCACGACGGGCAAGACGGCGGATAGCCGGCTTGGTGATTCCCTGGATGTTGTCACGGAGAACCTTGCGATGGCGCTTGGCACCTCCCTTTCCGAGTCCTTTGCCTCCTTTGCCGCGTCCAGACATTCTTCGAAGTGTTGATTCGATGAGATGGGGAATGGTGTGGGCTGGGGGTTTATATCGGGTTGAGGCAGATGGGTTTTGGCGCCAATCCCTCGGGCGGAGCCGCGCGTAGTGCCCCGAGAGGCCACGACTCCGCCCACCACACCCCTCTAGAGTGGTATATAAGTCGCCACTTTAACCCCTACCCCATCTTGCATCAACTGCTCGAACTCGTCGAATATGCCGCCCAAGCCGTCCGCCAAGGGAGCCAAGAAGGCCGGAAAGTCCCAAAAGGCCGCCCGTACCGGAGATAAGAAGAGGAGGAAGTCCCGCAAGGAGTCTTACTCCGTCTACATCTACCGTGTCCTCAAGCAGGTCCATCCCGATACTGGTGTCTCCTCAAAGGCCATGTCCATCATGAACTCGTTCGTCAACGACGTCTTCGAGCGCATCGCCTCGGAAGCCTCGCGTCTGGCCCACTACAACAAGAGGTCGACGATCTCGTCTCGCGAAATCCAGACGGCCGTCCGCCTCATTCTCCCCGGAGAATTGGCCAAGCACGCCGTCTCTGAGGGCACCAAGGCCGTCACCAAGTACACTTCCTCCAAATAAATATTTGGATCAAGTGATACTGAAATGACAACTTGGCTGGCATTGCCAACACCAACCACAACCAACCCAACGGCCCTCTTTAGGGCCACAAATGCAATGAAATGACTCTAAATATTAATACAAAGCTCTTTGATCATTGGGATTGGGAGTGGAGCTGAACTAACTGGCCAAGATGAAAAATTTTCAGCGAGACTTTCTAACCAGCATCTCATCAAAAATTTTCAAAGATGCCAACTTTGAGGGAATGACAAGGCACAATAACGTATGCCAGTGGTCCCAAATTATGCAAAATCGGCGGAACGTGGTCCTGGATCCATCTACGAGTGTTTGATAAAACCTTAGAGCGGCGCATTATTTAAACCATGATAATCATTAGGAGCAAGCGAGCCTCCAAATATTTAGATTAATGAAAAAAATCGGTTGTCCCAGAAAGAAAAGCCGCATTTTGCCTTTTCGGAATCTGATTGAGTTTGGATTTTATCATGACAGGTTGATCAGTTACTTTCAGCTGCCAAGGCCTTTTCCAATAACTTTTTTGCTTTTAGAAACAGGAAAGTCTGCGAAGATATTGTGGGCTGCAGGCAAAATTCATAAAGTCGGACGTCTCTGTATTTGGCAGATCTCGTTTTTTAGAAACTAGGGTCTCTCGTTTACTTATTTTCCGTTTATATCGATTTAACTCCTGGGATTGATGGCCCGGGGCCGGAGGGGACGCCTCTGGCAGAGAGCCAACGGACATTTTTGGCGCCAAGTTGTCCCAGTGGCGGCCCGGGAGTGTCGCCCAAACAGCAAGCAATTCGGGGCCGGCAAGGAATACACTAATGACCGGCAAGAAAAGGATTGCTGTAACGGGATGACGGGAGATAGCGAAATGAAAAATATCGGTGGATCGCTAATATGCAAATCTTGTCATTTATCAGTTCTGCCCAGTCCGAAGCCGGAAGGAACCCCCAAAAACGCTGAAGGATATATATTCTCTGGGCTTGATGGAAATTAGACGATTAATGCAGAAATCTAGTATACCCCTTTTTAAGAATAAATTATGTAAGCGGTGTAAGAACGGGAAACTTAGGCCAAGTGAACCCCGCTCACATTCGAAAATACTGTCAGCCAAAATAGTCGCGAAGCCCTTTGCTATCACTTATTTTATACTAGTTACGCCAATTTTTATTAACCTTGGCGCATAATCCCAGGCCAAGCTATAACTTTAATCATTGAATTGTGGCCCTAAAGAGGGCCGTTGGGTTGGGTGGTTGTTGTGAAGGATCAAGCTTCAGAACTTAAGCACGCTCTCCGCGGATACGGCGAGCCAGCTGGATGTCCTTTGGCATGATGGTAACACGCTTGGCGTGGATGGCGCACAGGTTGGTGTCTTCGAAGAGACCGACAAGGTAAGCCTCTGAAGCCTCCTGAAGGGCCATAACAGCCGATGACTGGAAGCGGAGATCAGTCTTGAAGTCTTGGGCAATCTCGCGAACGAGACGCTGGAAGGGGAGCTTGCGGATGAGAAGCTCGGTCGACTTTTGGTAGCGACGGATCTCACGCAGAGCAACGGTTCCAGGGCGATAACGATGGGGCTTCTTGACACCTCCGGTGGCTGGGGCAGATTTGCGAGCAGCCTTCGTGGCAAGCTGCTTACGAGGAGCCTTTCCTCCGGTCGATTTGCGGGCGGTTTGCTTCGTGCGGGCCATTTCCTTCTTGTTGGGTTGGATGGTGAACTGGTAAAGGCGGGGGCTTATATAGGGTCAAGTGAGGAGGGCGGAGTCGAGTAGCCTGGGGCGCTACCCGAAGCTCCGCCCCTCGCCCCAGAGCCTATATATGCAGACCCCAGCACCCCATTCCCATCTTCACCGAAGAACCCAACTCGACTCGACATGTCTGGACGTGGCAAGGGAGGCAAGGCCAAGACTGGTGGCAAGCAAAAGTCTCGCTCGGTGCGAGCCGGACTCCAATTCCCCGTTGGTCGTCTGCACCGTCTTCTCCGCAAGGGCAACTATGCTCAACGCGTCGGAGCCGGAGCCCCGGTCTACTTGGCCGCCGTTCTTGAGTACCTCGCTGCCGAGGTTCTCGAATTGGCCGGCAATGCTGCCCGTGACAACAAGAAGACCCGCATCAACCCCCGTCATCTTCAACTCGCTGTCCGCAACGATGAGGAGCTGAACAAGCTGTTGTCGGGTGTGACGATTGCCCAGGGAGGAGTGCTGCCCAACATCCAGGCTGTTCTCCTGCCCAAGAAGACTGCCGGAGACAAGGAATAGATCTCTGAAAAGACATCTACTTCAAAGTGTCGAGCTTCTACTCAACCAACCACCCAACCCAACGGCCCTCTTTAGGGCCACAAACTAAATAAAATGAAACGACGTATTAAAATTTAATTTTAAGGTATTATAAGTGGGTTGAGAAGCAGAGCTCCCCTCCTCAACAAGTGCGAAATCTTACGACTGATAAAAATATGCTGCAGTTCGGTATGACTAAATGCTAAAATATCGTAATGGTGTATAGTCAACGTGCGCATGCGACAAAACCAAAAATGCAAATGCGACTGGTGTTGTAAACCGAAACGCTGGGGAAGCCCCCGGATTCAACAATACTCTGCCAAAGAATGCAGATCTAAACCTGCTCTAGCAATGACGTGATTTAATTTAATTGGTCGCAATGGTTTCCCATATGTCATTCTAAAAAAATTTGCCAATGCTCAAATCCATACATAACTAGTCCAGATTTTGTCTAATCTACGAAACAGCGATCCGACAACGTGTTTCTGGAAAAAATATTAGCGTTCGTTTTCACATCATCACTTTGTTCGAATCATAATACTTTTATCCGGCAGTGGTCTAGCGGTTTTGTTTACAGATATTGTCAGGCACTGTCCGCTTTTTGGCGCGCCTAACTGGGGCGATTGGACGCGTGCCAGGAAGGCGTCGCGGTTTGGCGCCAAAACGGGCCGACGGGAACGGTGCCGATCTGCGCATTAAAGGGATGCCCACCCTTTTCGGGGCTCAAAAAAAGAAAAACCATGTCGCGGGCGGAGGTCGAACCCACCCGGGCCCCCGGTTTTGTAGGCCTGGATGCTATCCATTAGGCCATAGTGGCAAGCCATTGGGTGGGATGGGGACGCCACAAGAGGGAAAGGTGTCCGAATTCTGTGCGTCACTGGCGCCTCATTGCCACACAAAATTCCCGCGTCAATTGTACTGCCCGGAATACATAACTATATATTTGCCACCAAAACCTCGGGTAACCCTTTAATGATGAAAGACATTCTGAAAGTAGAATAAAAGATCAAAGACGCTAATATCGCTCTTGACAATTTATCTAGTTTTATTGAAGAGCATGGACACGTAGAACACGTAGAACTCTCAAAGAAATCAATAATTTTTCTGCTAGATACCTCTTTTTCCATTGTCCTCTCTTTCTTCTCTAGCTTTAGCTTCCCCTCACGATTTCGTTTCTCGACCTCAATCTCAGTGGTATTAAAATCAAACTTGACGAAAACACAAAACTGTGGGTGTTCTGAACATCATTATGCTCAGCAAATTATTAAAAACCACATAGTCCAGCTGCATTCCAAGTATTCCGCGGTTTCTAATCGGCAAACCATTCCCAGCTGCCGAACAAAAAAGTTCAGGTCGAAATTTTTATGAACAGGGCCCAGTTTTTCGGCGTCTAAACGCCACTTTGTACATCTGGGCAGCAGCAGGGCAGTACCAAGCATACTGTAAATGACGGCTTCCAGGTGCCAATTTGCGCAGCAACCTAATCGGTTGGCTTTTATGGGATCCTAAGCTAGTTTTCTGCCCTTATAAATTGCGAACTGCGCCTGTACTTCAAATTGGCGGGCGCCGAAAAATGTCTAGAAGTGGGCGGGCTGTAATTTTGTCGAAATCTGGCGGGTACTGTAT